TTGCCCACAATAACTGAGATAAGTGAGGGGGAGGCTGTGTTAGGCTAGTTAACCCCTAATTGGCTAACAAGCTATCTATAATTCTATCTGCTGTCACTGGCCCACTGATGGAGCACCCAAAAAATAAAAAACAAAGGTTAAGTAAAGGGAGTGGTAGTAGCAGTGGCCGACCCTTTCAAGAGACATGGAGCGAGATGTATGGTATTATAAAAAAATGGCAGATCATTTTGCGTTCTATGTACTGAAACGGTAGTAAGCAGAACGTGGAATATAAATAGACATTTTGAAACTAATCATTCCCAGCTCTTGGAAAAAAGTGAGGATGAAAGGAAGGAATACATTTCCAGGAAGCTACACCTTTATAAGAGCCAATCTAACTCCATCCTTAAATTTATAAAAGGCTGTACAAATTTAACATCTGCAAGTTTGAGCATTGCTCACTCCATAGCTCAGCATGCAAAAGCACTTAATGAGGGAGAATTTATTAAAGAAACTCTCCTAAGATGTGCGCCACTTCTATTTCACGATATGCAGAATAAAGATGCAATTATTAAGAGAATATCTGAGTTACCACTCAGTAGAAATATCATAAAAGACCGAATAATGAGACTGAACACAAACGTACAACATCAATTAAAGAGAGACATAAGGAATTGTAAATATTTTTCCATCTGTCTTGATGAAACTACTGATGTCATGTCACATGCTCAGTTGGCCATTATTGGTCGATATTCTGATAGTCACACAATGAGAGAAGAGTTGATAAGTTAGTATCAGTTCCAACAAGTACATCAGGAAGCGAAATATGTAAGGTTGTTATGCAAACATTCTGCGACCTAAGCATTGATATCTCTAAAGTTGTGTCAGTGACGATAGATGGTGCCCCAAACATGGTGGGAAAAAAAATTGGATTTGTGAAATTGTTTACAGAAGCTATTAGATGTCCGATTGTGCCTTTTCATTGTATTATCCATCAGGAGGCTTTATGTGCCGAGGCAGGATTCACTGACTTAAATGACTTAATGTCAGTTGTTACAAAAATAGTTAATTTAATAGCTGCTCGCCCCCTTCACAAGCGAGAATTTTCAGCACTTTTACTGGAGGTTGATTCCACCTACAGTGGACTGCTGATGTACAATAATGTAAGATGGCTGAGCCAAGGCAAGGTTCTTGAGCGCTTTGTGGAGTGCTTTGAAGAAATTAAGGTATTTCTTGAAGATAAGGATCTGGGAAACTTTCCTCAGCTCAATGATGATAAGTGGGTCAACACCCTGATGTTTTTTACAGATCTCTCTGTTCATGTTAATGAACTGAACTTAAAGTTACAAGGTTTTGGCAAAAGTTTTGATGTTATGTTTGGATACATAAAAGCTTTTGAAAATAAAGTAAAAATTTTCAAGCGAGATGTAGAAACTAAAACGTATAAGTATTTTCCTCGAGTACAAAAGCATTTTGAGAAGGCCAGTGCAGCTGTACGAAATGAAGTGGAACTCTTGCATATGAAGTGCCAGCATGTTTTAGACTCGTTACTTGACCAGCTTACTGATAGATTTAGTCAATTTAGAAGCCTAGAACAGACCATGAGAATAATTAAGTATCCTGATGTAGTAGTCTACAATAGTTTGGAATTAAATGGTTTCCAATGGACGCAAATAGATGATTTGGAGATGCAGCTTGCAGAATTTCAAGACAGCATCTGGGCTCAGGTGTTTGTTGACTTGAGGTCAAAGCTTGAGAATCTGGAAAGGGGCTGCTTGGAGAATCAAGATGAGTGCCACTACGAACAGGAAATTTGGAGTGCCTGGAACAGACTACCAGACACTTTTAGCACCCTGAAAAATATAGCAACAGCTTTACTCACAATTTTTCCTTCTACGTACTTTTGTGAGACCTTATTCTCAGCATTAAATAATATCAAAACCAACAAAAGAAACAGATTGACAGATGAGGTTAGTAGCGCTTGCTTGGGCCTGAAGTGTACAAAATACCAACCTTCAATTGAAGATTTAGCCAATGAAATTCAGCAACAAAAAAGTCACTAATATGCAGGTTAGTTAAAGAATTCGCCCTCCCCCTCACTTATCTCAGTTCACGGCACCCCAAACAAGTTCAATAATATCAAGGGCAACATACGAAATCGACAGATTGATGAACAAAGAAGTTACTAAACAGGTATGTTAAATAATTTGTTTTTGGTTTATTAAATACAATTATATATTGCAATTATACATTTTTGTAGTTTAAACTATAAATTGCGCAAAATTGTGTTTTTTTGTCGAAGTGACACACCACGCGAGTTATGCTCGATTTTTTGCCGAATTTTGACACACCACGCCGAAAAGGTTGCCCATCACTGGTTCAGTCTCATTATTCGGTCTTTTATGATATTTCTACTGAGTGGTAACTCAGATATTCTCTTAATAATTGCATCTTTATTCTGCATATCGTGAAATAGAAGTGGTGCACATCTTAGGAGAGTTTCTTTAATAAATTCTCCCTCATTAAGTGCTTTTGCATGCTGAGCTATGGAGTGAGCAATGCTCAAACTTGCAGATATTAAATTTGTACAGCCTTTTATAAATTTAAGGATGGAGTTAGATTAGCTCTTATAAAGGTGTAGCTTCCTGGAAATGTATTCCTTCCTTTCATCCTCACTTTTTTCCAAGAGCTGGGAATGATTAGTTTCAAAATGTCTATTTATAGTCCACGTTCTGCTTACTACCGTTTCAGTACATAGAACACAAAATGATCTGCCATTTTTTTCTATAATACCATACATCTCGCTCCATGTCTCTTGAAAGGGTCGGCCACTGCTACTACCACTCCCTTTACTTAACCTTTGTTTTTTATTTTTTGGGTGCTCAATCAGTGGGCCAGTGACAGCAGATAGAATTATAGATAGCTTGTTAGCCAATTAGGGGTTAACTAGCCTAACACAGCCTCCCCCTCACTTATCTCAGTTCTTGTGGGCAATTACAAGTCCATGGCACCCCAATAGTTGCTGCTAATGGCGCTCACAGGTCCCCCTTACTGTGTGGCACTCACTAATTGCGGCCTGACTGGAGAAAGGCGCGCACTGTTCCTGCGCTCCTCTCCTGGGGGTCCTCCCTAACATACTCTCAGCCGTGCTGATGAAGTGTGTGCGCACGGCACGCACGCCTTACCAGCAGCCCCTGCGCTGATAAAGGGGCTGTGCCTGTGCTTGCCTGTCAGTCGGCGGCAGCGCAGGCTGAAGTTTGCGGCGGGGACACAGTGAATGAGTGAGTGTGGGTGGGAGAGATCACACATCCCGCCCCCCGTTCATCCAGCACAGAGCGTATTTCTTTCATCCTTCCTGGATCCAAGGCCGTAGTGGTACGGTTGCTCTAGGGGGGCGGTAGTCATAATGGGAGAGTTTTAGTGGGTTCGAGTCCCACATAACCTAGTGACCCGCCAGGTATCCGTGGGGATTTCTCTTCCATGGCGAAAACAAAAAAAAATTTCTTTCATCCTCGGCGTGCAGGAGCCGAGGATGAATTGCATAAAATCGCATAAAATCCTGCGCGTGTCACCCCAAATGGCTACGCGTGTCAGCACTGACACGCGTGTCATAGGTTCGCCATCACTGGACTAGACAGTCACTTGTCTGAGATGGTATAGGTTCTCCTGCTTGAGCAGGGGGCTGGACTAGAAGACCTCCAAGGTCCTTTCAGCTCTATTCTATTCTAGAACAGGGCAGTCTGAACCACCTGCCTCGTTTCATTCTTGCATACAAATGGTGCCATTCCAATTAGCTGGTGTGCGCTCTGGAACGTGAGTTCCTTCTACTTCCTGCTCTCAGCATCCCTACTCTCTGATGACCATTTCATACAGGACTGGGCTACATATGTTCTATTGTTTTATTAAAACTGTGTTTTTTTCAAGTCCACACTAGATGGCCCTGAAAATACCTCTAATTAGAAAAGGGTTTCCTAATTCTTTGTTGGCTTCTTTGGCTTCACCCATTGATTTCACCCAGAACTTGGTAAGTCCTGTGTAGCTGAATTAGCTTTGGCCAGGTTCTGCCTACTCTCTAGGTTAGGCCCTTTGATCATACCCAGAGACATCTGTATTTTAGAATTAACAGATACTGTTTCCTATGGTAGGCTGTTTGGATATGCTGCTGGTGAACATCTGCACCAACAAATTTCATTCAATATTCATACATGCAGGGGAGATAATCTAAGTTTTGGATTACACCTCTCCAAATTCCTTGCCATTGGCTCTGTTTTCTATGACAAAAAGCAGTTGAAATCTAAAACCTCAACTAGAAGTCATTAGGTGGCCTAAATAATGCTGTATTTAAGATTTTGTGATGATGTGATAGAATCAGCAAGTGACATTCAGACCAGTACACAGCTGCTTGTTTTGGTTTGTCCAATTAGTTATTTCCATATTGATTGGGAAATACATTTTCTACTCTCTTAGTTTGGCTCCAGGAGTGTTTACAACCACATATGCCATGCTCAATTTCTGGAAGATCCATCATTCATGTGGCTTGAAATTATGCTTGAAACTGAACCACATGGATGAAAAGAAGGATTTCCATATTGCCAGAAGAGCATGGAAACAATTTCAGGAAAAGGAAATTAGCCACATCGGAAACACTATATCTACATAGGTATGCCCATGACTTGGAAAAAGACGCAAAGGCAAGAATATAATCACCAATAAAAAATAGAAAATTGTTTAATGGCCATGACCAAATATATACAAAAACCAGGAATGGCGGAAAAATGCATGATGAAAAAAGGTTTAGGATTTTCTTGTTTTATTTAGTGAATTCTGTCACCTTTGAAATAGTTTTGATTTGTACAATTTATTTTCCATATTTAGGAGTTAATCTAAAACAAGTGCAGCCATTTTCATCTGGCTAACGACACAGCAGAGGGAATTTAAGCTCAACAGAAGTGAAATAGTCAGAAAAATGCTGCAGATGGATTTATTTTTTCAAATTTCTTGTTCTGTTTTGTTTCACTCAGGGACAACCTGGAAGAAGAGGTTTTCCTGGGTTTCCAGTAAGTAGGATCTTTAGTATAAATTGCTGAATAATTATTTATTGCACAGATTGGAAAATGGTCATGTTAAAAATATACCATGTAAAATACATTGTTTGTTTTAATATAATACTATGATGTATTCTAAGCTCTGACTGTTTGATTCAAAAGCAATAAATTGCATCATCTCTTTGAATCAAATCATACATCAAACCATAGCAGCTTGATGCATAAAATAGAATTTGTTATGGATTGCTTTAGTTCAATCTTTCAAATCAATTCATTTAACCAGATCCAACATTTGAAATGGATTTGCAGTGATTTGCATCCCCATATCCATTTTTTACAGTAAAGGTAACTAGCAACATTACTGTTGGAATTTCCTTCCACAATGATTCAATAAAATAAATTCTATAAGCTCAAACCAGCTGCAAAAATGCATAAATCATTTGGCTTAACTTCCATTTCAGTCAGTGTTATGGATAAATGTTCAGTGGGCTGACATCTCGGAACTGAAACTCTTAAACTCCAATAGGAAAAAAAAATATTTTGGAATTCACCTGCCTACCATCTAAAACCATTTTATTAGCAAACTGAACAGACTGAAAAGACAGTGGCTAGGGAAAGAAATGTAAAAATAATATAAATAAGAACCATTTCTTAACATCCTTGTCATTTTTGACTGCATTCCAGGAGATAATTGGCCATAATTTATAACAATCCTAAACTAATCTGCCTTTATGTACTTCTTTACTGATATGTAATGCAATAACATACAGGTAATCCTCGACTTACAAAAGTTTGTTTAGTGACCATTCAGAGTTACATTGGCACTGAAAAAAGTGTCTTTTGATCATTTTTCACACAACTGTTGCAGCATCCTATGGTCATGTGAATAAAATTTGATTCATATTTATGATGGTTGCCATGTGCTCACCTTTTGGGACTTTCTAACAAGCAAGGTCAATGGGGAAGCCAGATTCACTTAACAACCGTGTTACTAACTTAGCAACTGCAGTGATTCACTTAACAACAGTGTCAAGAAAGGTGGTAAAGTGGGACAAAACCGTCATAACAAACGTCTGACTTAGCAACAGAAATCTTGGGCTCAAGTCGAGGACTACCTATATTTCATGGCCTATCTATATTACAAGGTAATGGCTCACCTTGTCCCTCGTTCCCTTTCCCACAATCCTCACTGCACTGTTAAAATAGTGCACTCATGCATATTTTAAATATTGACTTTCTTTTTCCCCACTTTTCGATATATTTATATCTCTGGTCCTAACATTACACGATCAAGGCGGTGGGCTGTACTAGCGAGACAAAAATATGATATCAAAAGAAATCCTTGCTATTTAAATCAATTGATCTCTCTCTCTCTCTCTCTCTCTCTCTCTCTCTCTCTCTCTCTCTCTCTCTGTGTGTGTGTGTGTGTGTGTGTGTGTGTGCGTGCGTGTGTTTGTGTGTGTGTGTGCCCACCCCAACCCCTCAAACCTCTTTTCTCCTTCTCATTTTTAGGGTCCAATTGGTTTGGATGGCAAACCAGTAAGTGAAGTCATTTTCCATTGATTTTATCCTTTAGTCTTTGAGTCCCCCCTTTCCCATAATCTTCCCCCTCACGTTTCTGTCCAGAAGGTTGTTTTAAATGCTTATTTCAAAATGATCAGGAGAATAAATTCAGATGGGTTAATAGACAAAGGGGCAACAATGAGCAGAATACCATGAGATTTTCCCTAGGTTGGAAATTAACCTTTTGCAACAATACTTAAATTCTCTTCTCTTCTCTTCTCCCCTCCCCTCCCCTCCCCTCCCCTCCCTCCTCTCTCTCCTCTCCCCTCTTCTCCTCTCCCCTCCCCTCCTCTCCTCTCTTCTCTTCTCTTCTCAGCTCTGCTCTCCTCTGGTCTCCTCTCCCTCTCCTCCTTCCCCTCCCCTCCCCTCCTCCAGCTGGTGAATAAACAGGACAGATCTAAAATGTCTGATCTTAATGTTCAAAAGGTTTATACTGAAACCCACTTCTTTTTTTTATTTTTTTTTCAGGGGCAACCTGGACAGAAAGGGGAAATGGTAATAAGATGTTTAATCAATTCTGCATGCTGCATTCTACTTATTAAGTTTCATGGAAAAGGATAAATGGCAGGGATGTTTTTGAGGATCCATCTTTATAGGGAATGTAGAAAACTTGAGGTTCTCCAGATGGAATTAAAATACAGTCCCCAGCATGCCTGACTCTGGTGAGAATTGCTTAGAGGTGAAATTCAGATTTCCAGCCCAGGAATAGTTTTCCCTTTCTTTGGCAGATTAGAAAGACAGAATAGTGATTTGTGCTGAGAAATTTGTAAACTCTATCTTGGTCTTTATTAAACAGCTGTTGATATACTATTAGATTTATTTAAAACAATCATATACTTTTTAAGAGCAATGCTATATGTGCAGAAAGAGGTTTGCTTCTGTGGAATAATGGGAAAGTATGACATTTTTGAATGGGCAGAACTGTTGTTGTGGAATTAAAACAGAAAACTATACTTCACAAATGGATCCAACAGATTTCTAGAAATTGATTTCAAAATTTTGGGGAATGTTAAATGATTTCCCAAACCCTTCTCTGCGTATTAACTTTCTCTTGGCCAGGGATGTTTAAAACATAAATATGTTACCATAGTGTGGTTGCAGTATTACAAATGACCATGAGATGGTAGCGCAGACACCAAAACACCAACTTGTGACTCCTATCTAGTGGTGGTGTAGATTATATTCATTATAAACAAAGTGTGCCTAACAAAAACACTCTACAACCACATTCAAAAGCATAATCTCACATCTGTAATTTGAAGTAATACCAAAGATTGTTCTATGGCCTCTTCCCTCTACCATTTTATTGTCATCTAATGGTGTATGTTTATGTGAAAGTGTAGTATTGGTTGTGAAGGGGCACAAAATTTAACACTGTTGTATGTGATTTTGAATGGCTTATTTATATTATCTTTTTATGTTGCAACCATGGAACAAGGGAAATACATATCTAAATCAGCTCACAGTGTTTTTGCTTCTTTATTTGACTTTATTTTATTGCTCATGATTTCATTTCCCAATCATAAAAACACTGTTCACCTGTGCTGTTTTTTGCAATCAGCATTTCTTGTTATAGTCACTTTCTCAATTGAGATTGTATAAATCAGTGTTTCTCAATCTTGACAATTTTAAGGCATGTGGACTTCAACTCCTAGCTGTGGAATTCTGGGAGTTGAAGTCTACATGCCTTAAAATTGTCAAGGTTGAGAAACACTGGTATAGATCCAACAGAAACAGACTAAGTTTGGTAATGAGCTTGAGGCAGTACACTATAGACCTTAAGAATTTCATTGATCTTTTGAATTACACATATAAATAAGGATTGTGGATTGGTATTTGAATGGTGATTATAAAATTCAGAATGAACTGATGGTCTGATGAGTTGCCCATGAAATACAATTCAGTAGTCTCCTCTCTTCAAACCATTTTGGAAAATTTTATTGTGAAATAGGCAGTATACCCAATTTTGAATTAAAGCATTTTCAAGCAATCTCTGGTCATTATTGGGCTGAAATAACCACAACGAAGACAAATTTTATACTCTACCCCATGATGGTTAAGAAATGCTAGAAGGTGCTATGAGACCGTAAGGAACTGTAATCAAGGCACCATATGAAATAATGAAATGACATATTTTTGCCTTGGATTCAGTGTTTAATACTTGTACTGTAAACAACATCTCAAGCACTATATTATAAGAATAGTATAGTGTGAATTCAGTCCGAATTTCCCAGATGGTTGATTTTATGACTGGGCTTAGGAACAGATGTTAATATGGGAAATCATAACACTTATTCAAATGGATTTTTAATCACTGGAATCTAAAAAATATATACAATACTGTGCATGCTGTTAACTGGTCATTTTTTCCACTGTGGGAATTATGTGAAAATCGCCTTACTGAATTACCATGTGCTTTACAGATAACTATAAACATAGATAACTATAAAAGTGTGTTTTTCACATATATCTCAAGAAGAATAGTACCAGTGTATGCATGTATGGGAGGAAGGTGAGAAAAAAGCTGGGAAATAAACAGGATGGAACATTAAGCAATTGTTTGGACCACTTTCTTGATCCAGTTTTTTTTTAAATTAGAAATATAACTCAGAAATTCCAAAGGATTTTGAAAATAAACTGTCAGCAAAATTATTTATGTCAGTCACTAGAAACTACAAATAGTAATAGTCCAGAATATGCCTATCTTGCTTGCAGAATCAGTGGATGAATGGGTGTAGAATAATCAAGATGTGATTGAAGCCCTGCCCTGTTTTTTACATGCATGCCATTTTGAGTTTTTTAACCTGTCCTATGGACAAACATGCTTTTTGCACATGTGTTCTGTTATGTCCCGAGCCTTGCAAACGGCTCGGGCGTTTGCAGGCAGTCCCAGGCAGGTGCAAAGCTGCCCGGGACCAGACAGGCTGTCGCCAGCGCCGTGCGCATGCGCGGGCGCTGGCGCAGGAAAAGTAACACTTTTACCCGGGAGTTGCCTATATAAGAGGCTGCAAAGCGTTTAGGCGTGCCTGAAGCCATCTACCTGTAAGCTGAACGCTGAATAAAGAAACCTGAGAACTCCAGCTGCTTCTCGTGTCTGTTTTCCCGCCACGGACTCAACACTGGCGACGAAGGTGGGATGCCTTGCACTACCTGGAAAGGAAGAAGTGTAAGCTTACCCAAGGAGTCCTGAGCGGCGGAAAGGAACGGCGTCGATTCGGCAGCTGCCCGCCAATCCGGTGCGCATTCGGGGGTAGGCTGGCTGATAGACCCGTCTCCTGAAGATTTGAAGATGGTGAAAATCGGAAGGCTTTCGGAATTCGACGTCTCACATCCAGAGCGGTGGGAGTCCTACGTATCCAGGATGGAGAACTACTTCAAGGCAAACCAAGTGAGGGAAGATAGCTTGAAGGCTGCCACCCTGCTTTGCGTTTGCGGCCAGGACGCCTTCGAAATCGCAGAAAACCTTGCAGCACCTGCTCCAGTAGAGTCTGTAAGCTACGCAGACCTGAAGAAGCTGCTGAAGGAGCACTTCACCCCAAGGTGTCTGTCATCGCATGGCGCCACACCTTCGAACAGAGGGATCAACGGTCCGGTGAGTCAGCCAAGGAATATATCGCCGCATTACGGAAGGCCGCCAAGCACTGCGAGTTCAAGGACCTCGAGGAACGACTGAGGGACCGATTCGCGTGCGGTTTAAGGCATCGAGAGCTACAACAGAGACTTTTCGCTAAGGAAGAATTATCCTTCCAAGATGCCTTAAGGGAAGTCACCGCAGAAGAAGCAGCAGGCGGCGCTGTCAAGAACATGCGGCCGATCAGAAACAGTCCAGAGGGTGCATCCGTGCACCAGGAAGACGTCCAACGAAACTCCGAGGAGGATCCGGACGAGGAAGTCGACCGTCTACACCCCGCGAAGGAAGAAAATCAGAAGGGAAGCTCTTCAGCTCCGCTCAAGTGCATCGGCTGTGGAGGTCGCCACAGGAGAACCGACTGCAAGTTCCGCTCCGCTACCTGCCGGGCATGCGGCAAACAAGGACACATTGCAGCTGTGTGTCTGGGCCGACGAAAGGTACAACCTCAGGAAGAACTGCGCCTGAAAGGTACCAGATTCCCCAGCCAGAATAGGGTAGGTTTTTGCGCTTCGCGAAGAAGCATCTTCAGGACAGGCACACACAAGCCCATTAAGAAAAAGCTGTCACTCAAAGTGAAGCTACAAGGGGTTCCATTATCTATGGAACTAGACACAGGGTCTGCCCTTTCCATCATTTCCTTGCATGCATTTAGGAAGATCTGTTCCAGTAGTGGGACTAAGGCCAAGTTAAGGCCTTCTGATATTGTATTGACAGATTTTCAAAACTCAAGAGTGTGTATTAAGGGGGAGGCCACCCTTAATGTGCAATACAAGAGTTTTGAAGGTCCACTAGACTTATTAGTAGTAGGGGGTGAACGAACGAGTCTCATAGGACTCGATTGGTTTGAGGCCCTGGGGATACACGTCACAGGACTCAACAGTTTACAAACACTCGACCTACAGAAAGTCTGCAAAGAATTTGCAGATGTTTTCAGCCCCCAGCTGGGCACATTCAAAGGAACACCTGTGTCCTTAAAGCTAGACCCCACTGTCACTCCCATTAGAATTAAAGCAAGAAGGGTCCCTTTTGCTTTAAAGAGTAAGATTGACACTGAGTTAGACAAACTAATCCAACAGGGAGTTCTAGAACCTGTTGACTCCAGCCCTTGGGAGACCCCCATTGTCACGCCTCTAAAGGCAAATGGGGACATTCGCATTTGTGCTGATTACAAATGCATACTTAATAAGGCATTGCAGCAACATGCCTACCCTGTTCCTGTGGTCAGCCACATCCTGGCCTCCCTCAAGGGGGGGGGGCGTGTTTTTGCAAAGCTTGACCTGGCTCAAGCATATCAACAGCTGCCTGTTGATGATGATGCTGCCATAGCTCAGACTATTGTGACCCACAGGGGAGCCTTTAAGGTCAAAAGGCTACAGTTTGGAGTGAATGTCGCTCCTGGGATTTTCCAAAGCGTGATGGAAAACACACTACGAGGTATACCAGGGGTTTGCCCCTACTTTGATGATGTCTTGATTGCAGGAGATTCCACACACATTCTAGCTGAGAGGCTTAGGGCTATCCTGTTAAGATTCAGGAAATCAGGCCTCAAGCTCAAAAAAGACAAATGCAAGATTGGGGTGCCTTCTACTGAATTTCTGGGATTCAAAATTGATGCTGCTGGGATTCACCCTGCTGAATCCAAACTAACTGCTATTTTAGAAGCACCCAGGCCAAAGTCCAAGGCCGAACTTCAGGCCTTCCTAGGCCTCCTGAATTTCTACAATTCTTTTCTTCCACATAAAGCTAGTGTAGCTGAGCCCCTTCACAGGCTACTAGACAAACAAGCTGTGTGGCAGTGGTCACAAGCGCATGAGGCTTGCTTTAAAGAAGTCAAGGCCTTGCTCACTTCTAACAGTGTTCTTGCACATTTCAACGAGTCTCTTCCTGTGTGCATCGCTTGTGATGCGTCCCCCTACGGGGTTGGAGCTGTCCTGAGTCACCTCAGGTCTGATGGAACTCAGGTTCCTATTGCATACTACTCCAGAACACTGTCTTCTGCTGAACGCAACTACGCTCAGATAGACAGGGAGGCTCTGGCTGTTGTTGCTGGAATTAAAAAATTCCACGACTTTCTATATGGCAGGCATTTCACGGTCTTCACTGACCATAAACCTCTGCTGGGACTGTTTACCACACGTAAGCAGACTCCCCACATCATTTCCCCTAGAATGCTTAGGTGGTCTATTTTTTTGTCTGCATATGATTTTTCCTTACTCCACAAGCCTGGAAAAGAAATGGGCCATGCTGATGGCCGCAGTAGATTGCCTCTGCCAGTAGTAGAAGCTGACCCTGCGCCAGCTGTCAACATTCTATCAATCCAAGCCTTGCCCGAGCTCCCTCTTAGTGCCAGGGATGTTGCCGCTGAAACAGGTACAGATCACACATTTTCACGTGTCCGTTCCTGGTTTTTGTCTGCTTGGCCTGAGCACTGCCCTAGTCCTGAGTTTCAGAGTTTCTGGTCCAAAAGAAACGAGCTGTCCCTTTCTCAGGGTTGTCTGCTTTGGGGAAACAGAGTTGTCATTCCCACCTCAATGAGGACTAGGGTCTTAGATTCCCTCCACGAGGGTCATCCTGGCATTGTTCGTATGAAGGCTCTTGCACGCAGCCACTTGTGGTGGCCTGTTTTAGATAAAGATATTGAGGCTAAGGTGCATGCATGCCACCTGTGCCAACGATCTCACCCAGAGATGCCCCAAGCTCCTGTGCATAGATGGGAGGAAACACAGTCCCCATGGTCTAGGGTGCACATTGACTACGCTGGGCCCTTTCAGGGCCATTTCTTCTTGGTCCTTGTTGACAGCCATTCAAAATGGCTTGAGGTTGTACCTGTCTCATCCACCACCACTGCAAAGACTATTCAGGTACTGAGGGGGATTTTTGCTGCACACGGGCTGCCAGATGTCATTGTGTCCGACAACGGACCTCAATTCACCTCCTCCGAATTCCAAGCTTTCTTACAGGCAAACCTGATTCGTCATGCCACGTCTGCGCCTTTTCACCCGTCCACCAACGGTATGGCGGAACGCATGGTGCGCATCGCAAAGGACGCCTTGAAGAGACTCACCTACGGGGACTGGCATCACCGGTTGGCTGACTTTCTCCTTTCTTATCGCACCACACCGTCCACTTCTACAGGGAGAAGTCCAGCTGAACTTCGTTGGGGGCGTCAACTTACTACTAAGCTTGACCGGTTGCATCCTGACAGATTGCCTCCATCTACCTCACATCCTAGGGCACCGAGACAATTACTTGTGGGTGCCCCGGTCTGGACTCGCAATTACGGGCCTGGTCATACATGGGTCCCCGCTTCTGTTTCCAGGGTCACTGGTCCTCTATCCTACGAGGTAGCCTTGGACAACGGTCGTGTCCTGCGCAGGCACATTGATCAACTCCGCCCTAGGCGGCATCTTCCAACTGAGACTCCTGGGTCTTTTCCAGGGGGGGAGGGGGACCCTTTGGAGCAAAGGGAAGGGCAAGAGCTACTGTCCATCTCCACTGAAGGAGCCACAAACGGCCCATCCCAGGGTTCCGCAATTGCTCCGAAAAGGAATTCATGGAGCTTACCCACACAATAGGCACTCACGCCTACTCCAGCCAGGGAGTTACCCCGGGGGCATACTCACTTTCCATACACATCACACAGCACTCCAGCCAGGGAGGAAACCCGGGAGCATCCCAACAACTCATTCCCCGCAAGAGAGCTGGCATACAATCCCCAAAGTTGGCCTGACCTTACCCCAAATCCTACAGGGGGTCAAACATACACAGAGATAGTCGAGGAATCAAGTCCCGACTACAACACTTCTAGCACAAATCAGGGAACACCTGAGTTTTGGGAAAGTACAGAAACCCACACAAGCCCGAACACAGAACGAGGTTCAGGGAATGGACAGCCTCCTGACAGGTCTTGGACTGACCTAGGAGGTTCTACAGAGACGCCCAGCAGCGGCTATCACTTCAAGGGGCCCGAGGGTCTACAGCTAGGCAGGTCAACCAGGTCACATAGTGACAGAAGCCCTGGCCTGACGAGCCCGGTGGGCAAGCAAGCAGGCCAGGCATCGGGGCACAGTCCTTGGAAGGCACCAAGGCACAATAAGGAGAACAGGCTCACACCTCCCTTCAGTCAGGGAACTTCTGCTAGTAACCCAGAGCTTAGAAGGTCACAGAGAGCAAAGAAATCTCCTAAGTACTTAGAGGATTACATAACATTGCTGGCAAGGCAAAAGCCAGTAAACAGTGGGAGCACTGGGGAGCAAAATGTTGTATAAAATAAATGTTGTATGTTGGTAGTAGTTTTAGCCCGGGGGAAAGGGGTGTTATGTCCCGAGCCTTGCAAACGGCTCGGGCGTTTGCAGGCAGTCCCGGGCAGGTGCAAAGCTGCCCAGGACCAGACAGGCTGTCGCCAGCGCCGTGAGCATGCGCGGGCGCTGGCGTGGGAAAAGTAACACTTTTACCCGGGAGTTGCCTATATAAGAGGCTGCAAAGCGTTTGGGCGTGCCTGAAGCCATCTACCTGTAAGCTGAACGCTGAATAAAGAAACCTGAGAACTCCAGCTGCTTCTCGTGTCTGTTTTCCCGCCACGGACTCAACATGTTCCCTGTTCCAAACATTATCTCTATCTTGCTAATTCTGCTGCTACCTTGACCTATTCTAGACACATATCTCATTTCAGTGTGAGTAAATTTCTGATTTTGCTAGAATCGTACACAGGATTTTTTTCCCCTCATCCAAATTAATGAAATAATCCTGCCATACAAACTATTAAATGCTGCAAGCTTGGTTTGGCCAGGTTCTCCTTGATTTGGCCCAAAGTAGATAGACTTCCAATTGACCTCTTCCGTGGCTCAAAATAATTGTCATTTAGCTTCCTCTATTTTACAAATGTGGTGGGTTTTCCCTTTATTTTTGTTCTGGACAGAGCCAGTTTTCTAAAGTATCTGGAGAACCAATAGTGGTTTTTTTTTTCTTTTAATCCAAATATAGGGATGGATCTTCATAATGAACATGTATGGTGGTCCTCCAAATTATTTTGCAGCTCTAGACAGGAGTCAATGGCAGGTTTTCTTTAACCATGAATCTTAGCCCATAAAGATCCTATAGGCATTTCACAATGTAGAAATAATGGATGACTGTAGCCTGAAGCTTTATGCAGAAGTAGGCTCATCTACACCAGAAAAATGGGTAAAATTACCTGGTTAGTCCTTGGATAAACAAGGTTTTAAGCCTAGCCAAATCTACCTTAGCAATTTTATTGTGAACCTACAATTTTTTGCCAGTTCAAAATTCCAAATGTGCCCACCTTGCAAACACTTTGTAAAATCCCATTTAATATAGGTTGTCTGAAAGATTCTAAGTACACTTGGATTTTAAAATATGTAAGTATTAATAATCTCAAAAGTGGATGCAATTCATTCTTCCTCTCTGTAATGCCAGTATGTTGTATAACTTGTGCTACAATTTTTGTACTAAAGTTCATTTCCCTGCTCATTCAATGTGACCTTGGGCTTTTCAAGGTTAAAGGTCAATTAATAAGTACTTCTGCTAATACTAATTACTGTTTTGATTATTGGCTATCACTAAAAAATATTAAACATCCTCTCTCCCTCCCCCCTCTTTCTCCCCCCTCTCCCTCTCTCTCTCTCTCTCTCTCTCTCTCAATAGGGGATCCCAGGACAAAAAGGAGAAAAGGTAAAATTAACATGAAACCTGAAATCTGGTTCTTCCTGTATGTCTGAATCAATAGTTCCACTATCCCTGGTTATTGCTTAAAAAGAATGTACCGTAACCTGCCTTTTTAATCCATATGCATAGGTAAGAACAATTATTATAAAAATAAAATCTAACGCTAAAAAGTGTATAGTTAAAGCAGGCAGCTGCAAGAGATGACATATGAAAATTGTACATTTTCAGTGGAGTGAATGGCTTCCAATGAATTGGCAGGTAGTTTCATTGATGAATTTTGTAGCTCTGAAAATTTCCTTGCTCCAAGTCAGATAATATTATAATTGCAGGAAAAGGAATACATTAAATGGGCAATCCTAGATCCATGGGCATATTTGATCCTGAATTAACTGTAATAAACAAAATTGGTCATGATATTCTGAAAAGTACAAGAACTTTCTGATACAAGGCCAGGGTCCAGGATGGGTCAACCAACATTATCCCCACCAAGATGAAAGAACTCTTCACAATGATGCACCTGCTGTGGTCCTGTCTCTTTGACTCTATTTTGGTTACATGATTTAAAATATTTTCTTTTTTAATCCCTCTGTTTCTGCAGGGTCAATGCGGAGAATATCCACACAGGGTAAGCAAATTCTTCTGGGTTTTTGAATTGAACTCTGTATCTTATCCCACGTTGGGATAGTTTCTATGGTACTTCAAACAGATCATCTAGGAAGATCCAACTTTTGTTCCTGTGTTTCTCTCACCCACCATCAATATTCTGTGGGTTGAGTCCTTTCTTGACCAAAGAAAGAAGAGTCTTTTTTTAAAGGGATTTATCAAGGTCCTTCCATAATCTAATGCCACAAATTCTGCTATCAGAAAGGAGTGGAAAACAATCATTGGGGAATGCTACACCTCCTTACCTATGGTTTCTTTTATTCAGATCATATTAAAATGGCAGTGGAACCCTACCAAAGCATCAGTCACAATAAAACATGGCCATTTAGCAAAGCAGTCTTCTGAAGTGAAGCAAAAATTCAGATATTGCCCAGCATTTTATTTATTTATTTATGTATTTATTGGCATAGATTTAAAGAATATCTGACCCCCAACAACTCTGGGTCCTTTGCAGTATAAAAGGCCGGAACAATAAGATAAAAGAACAAAAGATATGATTCCACAAACAGAAAAACCCCCCCAAAAATAGCACAAACTCTTCCAGAGTCTGGGAGAGCAGCCATGTTTTCAATGCCTTTTATAACATCATCATGGTGGGAACCAGATGGACCTCCGGGGGGGGGGGGATGATGCTCCAGAGGGCAGATGTCATGTTATTTTGCCTTCTTTTAGGATGCTTAGATAAACTATAACTGTAATTAACGAGAGAGAGAGAGAGAGAGAGAGAGAGAGAGAGAGAGAGAGAGAGTACAAGCAACATGACAAATACTAATGTGCTTAGAATTAAAATAGCCAAAGGTGTTTACATAGCATTAAAAAAGGGCTGGGGGAAGAAAAAAAATGGGAATTTACACAACACCATGTGCATAATTACATGTCTGATCTTATATAGCAATAATCTGCTGACAATCCTGAAAAGGCTTTCAGGATTTAATGTTTTAATTTAATCTAAACAATCTGAACAAGTTACAATTTAGACAACAAGTTAATGTCTAAAAGAATTACGAAATTTGACTCAATTGAAATTGAGTTAAAATGTGTGACCCACTGGTTAGCAAAATGTACTCAGCATAACAAGGTTTCCATCAACAGCTAAATCTCTAAAATCCTCTAAAGGCAATAAAAAAAACTACATTTCCATTTGTTGCAAAATTTATCATGATAAAAAGTGGATGATCAAGGAATAGGAGAAGAAAAGAAACTTCAGGAGCCAAGTATTGTTTTTGTCTGTTCCAGTTGTCTTAAGAAACTTTTGAATATGAATTTGATGTAATTGATGGTATTTTAAAAAAAATCTCTGGGGCCAATGGTATAGCTCTAATCAATGCTAATTTACTGAGAATGCAATGCAAACTTAATCATTACCGCTGAATCTTATTTGAATTCTTAACCATACGATATGTGTGAGATTTGTACACTGCCAATTTTACAATGACTCTTGCCAGATTACATTCCTAAAAACAAAATAAAACCATAACAGCATACAATTATCATTAAACAGAAAAAATAAATCAAATATTTAACAATGCCAACATTGCATGTGATGAGATTTAATTGTGTTTCTTGAAAGGCATCAAAACAATATTTCAGTGCCAAAATCTCCACTAAGCAATTGTTTATGTGAAGCTGATTGGAGTTGAAAAGAAAAGTTATTCCTGTAGATTATCTGGACAATAAACAATAATGCTCAAGAGAACCTCATGTTCCAAATCTCAGCTTGGAAGATTTCTTAAATGCATCAAATTTCAGCCAAAGTTTAAGTTTATCTACCTAATAGATGGTTCTTGAAAACATGGAGGATTAGCCCTGACAGAAATCCTAACATACATCCAGAGAAATTTCTCTTCTTAGAAAATATGTCTATGGCATATTGATTGATGAGTTATACTGCTAGGAGAAAGCATTATCTCATGTGAACATTCAGAAATGGGGCAATCACTGAGCACTGTGTTGCTGTACCACGAGGGCTCCAGAAATTATAGGAGGATTAGGACCAGGTTGCAAAGTCTAAATCTTAATTTAAGTCACAAGTTGTAAAAAGCCAGAACAAGATCTTGGTAAATCAAGATGTTTTGTTGACTAAAGTCCATCTTTTCCAGCATTCCATCATGACCGATCCTTAGCCCCAAGCAGCCTCTAAGTACATTGTGAAACCAATAGTCCTGCCCATTGTTTGCTCTGCAGCAACTGGTAATCCATGGCCTTTCACTTGCAAATAGGTTGGTTCCCTATCAATAGTTTTCCCAATATTTGCCACTTAGGCAATTGCCTTTTATTTCGTTATTCTTTATGACCTCAGGGTAGGGATGCAAAAATGAGGAGTTAATCTAAGCTAATCCTTCCCTTAAGGGTGTAGTACGTTTATCCTTCCTTATAGCTGAAAGTTTGGAAATGTAAGGAAGGGAAACTTCTATTTAGAAACTTCTACATATGACCACAGATAGATTTAGATGTTTCTATAAGGTGAGGCGGTGGGAAAATGTGCATATCTGTGGTTTTGTGAGGTCTAAATTGATGCTAAAACATTTTCAATAAATTGTCTTGCTGTTTTAGGTCTGGAAGTATAAGACACTTTCAGAAAAATAGCATCATTCTTTCAGAAAAACTCAGATAGTCCTTGACTTACAATCATGCGTTTAGTGACCGTTTGAAGTTACAACAGCACTGAAAACTGGTTTTCACCTTTACGACCATTCCAAACCATTGGTGTCATGTGATTAAAATTTGGGTGCTAGACAATTGGCATGTTTTTATGACAGTTGTAGTATCCCAAGGTCATGTGATCACCATTTGCAATCTTCCCAGCTGGCTTCCGACAAGTGAAATCAATGGGGGAAGCCAGATTCACTAACAACTGCAGCAAAACAGCTCATAAAATGGGGCTAAATTCATTTAATAACTGCCTTGCCTAGCAACAGAAATTTGGGGTTCAATTGTGATCATAAGTCGAGGACTATTTTTCCATTTTTGGAAGAATTTAACAGATGTAACTATAGAATTGCTATCTGCTTCAGGGCCGAATCTTCCAAGCATAGAACTAATATCTTGGCTAAGGGCAGAGAAACTACTTATAGCCAACCTAAATAGCAGCAAAAAAATATAAAGTATTTTAGATATGTCTTGAGTTCAGCTATGCACTTGTAAAAAAAGAGTGCAAAAAATAAAGATTTCACAAAGCAGATAACACATGGCTATCTTAGGTTCTCTTTCTGGAATTTCTAAAATGTAATATCATAGATTCGTGAATGCCTTCATGTATTGCTTAAAATGCCTAGTTCTAATAGAGAAAGATTCCATTCTAGGTGAATATTTTTCACAGATAAATTCACTTAACTATGCAAAGTCAACACGTCCGTTGAATCACTTTGGTGCTGATCAAGTTTCTTGTCCCATCTCAACTTTAATTATTTTGGACATTTAAAAATTAAATTCAGAATTGGGAATTTTGCATAAATGAAAACAGCAGTCTTTAGCATCATCTACTTAAATATTTTCAATTAAAAAGCAATATATAAATACTTTTACTAAATTTTTAAAAACCCTATACTGCCTAAAGGAACCACATGGGGTATTTTTTTAGAAAGTAAAAAGTGTAGTTAGCTGTAATTCTTTGCCTTGTTGCATTATGTCTACCTTCTCAGATTAAAAACCATGCTACAAAGCATTCAGATTACCAGATAAGAGCTGCAAAACTCTTGACTCTCATCAGACAGCAACAAAAATGCATATATAAATCTCAACTTCTTTGCTGGCATCCATAGTCATGAATGAGATTTGTAGCCCTGACCTGGGAGCTATTTAAAAGATCATCATGGAAGGTTAGAAGGGCTGGCTGGGAACAATTTCATTAGTTTACCTTCCTAATAGCCTTTACCTATTCACAAAATTCCAGATAGCTAGGAAGGCAGCCCAGCTGATTGCCTTATCTTGAGTCCGCTGCTTCCAAAGTCAAAGTGGAAGGCATGTATCATGAGGTTCAAGAGTAGATCTAATCCAGCACAAACAATGTCTATTGCTTTTTGGAATACATTGAAAAGACATTAAACATCAAGAGTGAAATGATAATAGAGGCAGAAGCTTAAACACTTTCTGTTCAGGATTTGAAAATCCCTTTGGAAAACAGACTTGAGATCTGGACTTCCTCCAAGAGAAATTTGGAGCTACAGCTGGTGAAAAATTCTGGATGACAACACTATGTAGATAATAAACCTTTCAGAGGCATCTGAAACAGAAGAGGATAGGAAGCAAAAGCTGGCTGATTAACTTGATGTTCTGGCCTAGTGTATTTACTTAATAGAACAATGGCAGTAGAGTATTATGTATTGTTTGATGTCTGAACAATTTCTGAGTTCAGAGGTAAGTCCTCCTTGCACTGATTAAAATGAAAAGAGCCCCAAGCATGATCATAAAATAAAAGAAGTAAAAATATAGGGCCACAAAGAGGCCATTTCATACCTGGCCATTTCAGCTCAGGACACTGTTGGTTATTGAAATTATTATTCAAGAAATCTCTCTCCATCTCAATGGTAAGAAAACAAAGAACATGGCTGAGAAAATTCAGTTTTGCAGGGAGTAAGGCTACACTTTAAACGGCTCATATTTTTGCTTTCTTTTGTTTTGGAGGTGAAATCCTAAAGCAGGGGTCTTCAAACTTGGTCCTTTTATGACTTGTGGACTTCAACTCCCAGAATTCCTCAGCTAGCATGCCTGTCCTAAAACATATGGATTTCAACAAGCATAATTTGAGAATTTAACTTAAAAAGCTAATCAGGAGGAAGGCTGTGTTATTGCTTGTAACATTCTGCTATGTTTCAGATTATTCTTAAATATTTAAAATATTTAATATTCTTAAATCCCTCCCAAAAGTTTTAAGTCATAAAAATATTTTTAATTTCATTTAATTTTCAGATAATAATATTGAAAAAAATCATTTATTGGGTTGCAAATTTGGGGGGATTTTTTCCTCATCTGGTGCCCTCTAAATATGTGTAAGGACCCACCCCACTTTGCATCTTAAGAAGACAGAACTCTTGGAATAATTCTTCCAACAGGCATCCTTTATTAAGAGAAAATGGTTGCAGGCGTTCTAGACAGGACTTGGGGTCCAAGCTCTCCCATTCAAGGTTTTAAGGGGATCCCCAGTAGCCCCACCCAATCACCCCCCTCTTCCAGCGACAGTCTCAGGCATTACACTCCCACCCCCTTTTCCTCACTGCCGGCTGGATGGAGACTTCAGAGAAAACTACATGAAAGCCCCATTCTTATGGTTAGTCCTTTTGGTGATACACACATCCAGTTCCTTTCTTCAGAGAAAACTACATGAAAGGTAATAGCCCCATTGTTATGGTTAGTTCTTTTGGCGATACACACATCCAGTTCCTTTGAAGTGTACCGAAGGAAGTGAGGGCCATAAAGCCCCTTTGTTCACCCCTTCCCTTCATCGTATGACAGAATCCATAGAAGGCAGAAATGGGTTTTTTTATAATTGATAACTAGAGATGAAATATAATTGGATTCTGACAATATGCTAGACTTTAATTTCCAACATATATAGGCTACGATGACTAGACATTATGGAAGCCAAACATATTTGGAGAGCCACAATTTCCAATATCACAACTGATTTCTTAATATTCAATATTAGTCAAAAAACAATAGTCTGCATGATATGGATTTTAATAGCAAATATATTTCTTGCCTTGAGAGAGAGATAGAGAGAGGGAGGGAGGGAGGGAGGGAGGGAGAATAATGAAGGAATGTTCAACTTCTCTTATATAGTTTGAGTAATAGTTGTCTGAAGTCTGATTGCAGTATTAGTGGCAACTTTTAATGATATATGAATGGATGTTATTGGATGTTCCTCTCTTTACTGTCAGCAAAGTAAGAACTGGAAATTTAATGCCATCATAATGATGAGATGACCAAAACAGGTAAAAAAAAATCCCACAACAGATACAAGCATAATATCTGGGTGGAGTTTTCAAACCAAACTGCTGTTTGAACTACATAAAACCACATTGGTTTTATGACTTTGATGATATGGTGAATTGAATTGACCCCATTGTGTATTTCCACTGTCCCCCTAGGAATATCTAAGCACCACACTTGCAGCTCTGCGTTCTAATCACATCCTTGCATTGAAGGTTTGTGAGAAAGAAATGGTTTGACCTTTGCCAGTCCTGTTGCAAAAACAACAAAAAAGGATATTGCATACCCTGAACAATACCAAACATTTTGTAACATGTCTGTGGATAATCAGGGAGGTCATATTGTCAAAATGGACATCTAAATCCAAGCCTTATAGACATACCTCCTTACCGAGGCTTTCGCTATAGACAAATGAGCCATTCTCTGCATTGTAACCAGCAATTTCTGATAATACCAGTAGGAATTTCAGGTCATCAGTCTAGAACAGCTGCTCCCAACTTTTGTTTTGTGGCCTTACAGCATAACTAGAATTTTCTAGATCACCCTGTAAGTTGGAAATGCAAACGGTCAATGCAGGGTATCAAAATAAAAGTTAACTTATGTTAATTTTGGTTTTTGATTTTATTTGATTTGATTTTCTCACCTGAATTTACATAAGATTGTGAGGAAGAATGGCAAAAAAATTGAAATTTAAATGAGAATTCCAGAAAATGATCAGTTGTGGCTATCTTCTGAGACTTTGATGTTTTATTTTGATATCTCCATGAGGGACCAACAACCACCTCAACTGTCCTGATTTCCTCCAAACTTTTTTATGGCATGAATTCAGTATTTTTGTACAAAGTAGAGGATCTCCTGTCACACATCAGCCTTTCAGCACTGCTGTTTTTAAATTTTCTTACAAATAGCTTCTCAAAATTTTCCTTTCCAAGTAATGGCAGGCTTGTGAAATTGAGTACCAAACACAAAATGGGAAAGTTTTTAAGGTTATCTTCTCACCAACAAAGTTTTACTTCACGTCTTTAGAAAATAAATATGCAGATATTCATATTTTTAAATGACAAATAAATAAATCTCTGGACAGAATCTCTTTTTATTGGAAACAATATAATCAAGCAAAGATTGAGACATAATGACAGTAAGAAGATCTTGGTGCAGTTTACCAACTAACCTCAGCAGCACCACAACTTGTGCTTAAATTTAGTGCCTTAACCAGATTACATGTAACACATAATCATGCAAACTCCAATTTGGCTTATTCACTTCATTTTATGAACTCCAAGGATCATGGCAATTTTGTTTCTGTTATTCACTTGTGAATACCACTCTGGCCTTGGATCTGCTTCTAATTGTGACCTTCTCAATCCAAAATTGCCATTCCAATATATTATCACAACATGTTCTCTATTTTTAACCGGACTGCAGGGTGCAATATTGTGAAGACATTTCAGTTTGCAACAAGACTGGAACTTGACTTGTCCTAAAGAGCAAGTGACTTTAGACATGAGTAGAAATGTGTACTCTTTAGTGTCTACAGCTGTTGTCATGGGAGACCTGCAGGCACACCTCTAAGCCACAAAATGATATTTGCAGGAATAGACTTGAGCCGTGACAAGATTTGATTCTTCTTGCATTTATATTGGTGAAAACAGGGTAACTTTCATTGTAGAAATGAAATCTTAATGTGAATAATCAGTAGTATTATTGTAGTAGTAAGTATTTTCGGGAACACCAGATGATTTTTTTGGATGTCTTTGGATTGCTGAAAAGAGTAGAAAATCATGAAGTGGCTACTCCAGTAGTTCTTATCAAGTCTAGCAAGAGAAAAACTGAAATAATTTATTTAGCTGGGTTTTCAAGGGAAAAAAAGCTTATAGGAACATTTTAAAAAGTCAGTTAACAAATAATTAACCTGCAGGGTATTAAATTTCACCCAGTCAAATAATTCCATCTCGTCTATGAACACTTAAAACCAGTCTTGGCAGCTTAATCTTCCAAAGAGCTGGAGAGAAATAACAGCTGAAAAAGCAAATCTCTCCATCACAGAACTCATTGCCAGGGCCTGGAAGCACTGAACACAGTGGTGGGATTCAAATATGTGAACAACTGGTTCTCTGTGTGGATGCCGCTTCTGGAAGTCCATTCTGGGCCTGGGCAACACAAAATTAGCCACCAGTTCCGCTGAAGTGGTGCGAACTGGCTGAATCCCACCACTGACTGAACACATATCTGAAATACTGGGTACAATGGCCAAAATGCATCAATTGTTTTCTTCCTGGCCAATAGAAAAGGAGTTTATGATGTAATGCAATTTTGCCAGCTTTTGTAAGAGCTCATGAACTACTAGCTCATTCTGGAAGAAGTGGGTGGAGACTTTGAATTTTTAAAAGAATAAATGTGGATCCAGTTAATGCGACTGCATCCTACCAGAATCTTTGGTAACTTTTGACTCATTAGTAGAGTGGATTAATTGTGTTATATAGGCAATAGGCCGTATGTGAATTTCATTTTATGTAACCTTTCAGGATCTGCTCCAAAAGTAATCTCTTCTGTGGGTTAAAGTTTGAACCTTTGCTGAAAAGAGGTGCTTTGCATTGTCTTTCATTTCCTCCTCAGCTGCTAAAAAGAGGTTCATTCTCAGAGATTAAACAAAAACATTTTTATATATATTCTGAGTGAATTATTGTATTTAAAGGATTGCTATAGGGATTAGATCGTTCATGGAATTGATTGAGGGTTGAGGAATTATACTTGAACCCTTTCCATGTTCTTTGCACTGATTCTGCCTATTTTATTTTTTTATGTTAAATTCCATATGCTGGCACTTGGAGCTTACCATCCAAGGCTCCTGTTGCTTGGATCAATATCATAAAAACATATTGACTGCTAAGAAAAAGAAGCATAGCTCATGAAAGAAAGCTCCAAAACTGTTAAGAAAGACATCTTTGTTAATAAGCAAAGAAAATATTCTCTGAGTTTGTTTGCTTGCGGACATTCATTACCCAACTAGGTAACACCATCAGTCTGAATAAGGGTAGAGTTTGTACTCACTCACATTGCTGTTATCTAGTTGGGTAACAAAACATCTACAAACAACTAAGCTTAAAGAGCAGCAAGAACTATGTAGTTCAATCTGAGTTACAGATGTTCTCTTCCAAAGAGAAGTGTATATAATTAAAATAGGATTAGGACAGATAATGTGGCCAGATACTTCTTAAGTGTTCTTGCTAGACTGAGAAAGAATTAAGGAATCTATGTTGTACTGCAGTGTAACTTGGCTGAATGTACTGGTGAATTCATTATAAATTTTCCAAATTATATGAGTAGAAATTAGAATACTCTAAAGCAGGGATGTCCAACCTTGGCTACTTTAAGACTTGTGGAATTCATCTCCCAGAACTCCCTAGCCAGCCATGTCTGTTCCATGCTGGCTGGGGAGTTCTGGGAGATGAATTCCACAAGTCTTCAAGTAGCCAAGGTTGGACATCCCTGCTCTAAATTGTGAAGAGTGAAGTTAAAATAATTTATAGCTGCTTCAGCAACATTCATGTTGTGGAAGTAAAATGGAAAATAGAAACAGATTGGCTCAGAGGCTTGCTACAAGGTGCCCAATGACAATGCTTTTTCCATTACCCCTTCTTTGATATTGATGAACTCAAACTTGCTTTTATTCCTTCCTTTGGTTATTTTATTTTTTCCCATTTCCATTTTCTTCCCTGGCTGCTCTGTTTGACTTTTGATGCCCTACTGACATCTTTTGCCTTGTGACCTTTGGCCTTTCCCTGTGACCTTCTGGCTCGGTCTTCAGCTGTTGCCTCTTCTCAATTCAGTGCGACTGGCTCCGCCCCCAGTCATAAAGAGACGCACCTTCCAGGTATCCTTCTCCTTTTCCTCCTACTCCTGGTCTGTTCATTTCCGAAACTAGTAATTAATCAGCTTCCTGTCTTCCCTAGGAGAGGGTTTCATTAAAACTAGAAAAAGCAAAGATTCAGTCATGTCCCCCATTTCACAGGATTGACAGATCAAGTTTTAATGCATTTGCATGCTTAGTTTAGCAGCTAAGCATGAACACGTTTGGTGGTTACCGGACTTGAAGGTATTGTTAGACTATATAAGATCTTAGAAGAAAGAATATAATGCATTTAGAAAAAGGTTTAATTTGATTTTATTGGAACTGATCTGTTTTACAGCACAAACTACTAAACAAAGGTAGTTCACTGTCCATAGTTCAGTCAGTTATACAAAGTATATTTGATCAGCTTTTAAGATCAACATTCTGGAGAGATAGGAAAATGGGAAGAACACAACTACTGCTACTATATATGCTTGGAGATGCAAATACATAGCCTAAAATAACCATGGCTTTCCAGTGATTGTTCAATAGATGTTTAGAGCTGTATGTCCTATTAATTATTCAAATAACTATTCCAGACAAGTGTCCTTGCATTCAGTCCTTAGTTCTAATTTAGTGGGAACAAAATTGCAGCCTTAAACTATTTATTGTGGGGAACGTTACTCTAATAGGATAGCGGATAACACAATTATTTCATAAAAGTATAAACAAATTTCATACTTGCCCATATCTACTGGACCATCACTGACTTTAGAGACAATTGTATGAATAGCAGAATTGAGTCTTGCAGAGATTTCATATGTGGACATCTAACAAGTCATGTACCGTCTCAGCTGCCCAGCAATAGCATCCTTCAGTAGATAGAAGTCTCCATAGCAGAATGCTCTTCATCCTCATCTTAGAGGATAATGTTCTACGTGCTTTGGTAGATGTAGGTTCAACTCAGCCAGAGGGCTTGTATAAGCAAGATGCCCATTCATGCAAAGCCTCTTGTTACAGTGACATTATGATATGCTTATGGATAACGATGGTCTGGACTGGCCTTCCAGGATGCATCTGGAATCCCACTGGATGGAGAAATAAATCTAAACACCATCCTCACTAGATGTCATAGGCTACTTTTTTAGCCGTTGATCGGAGCTATATTAAAAATTGTTTGGCTCCATTGCATGTGAATTTAATATGCTGTTAGGCTTCATTGAAGATGGCCTCATGTTAACATTTTGCCATGGCATAAAATACCGCATGATCAAAAGATGGAATTCAAAGGGCACAGTAGGAGTATCGCCTCTTAGTTTCCCAAGTAGATTTTGCCATTATGATGCTTCAAATGCATACCTACAAAAAAATTCATTCTCCTTCTCTTCTCTTCACTTTTGATCCTCTGGAAGGATCCTTTCCTCTTCAAAAAGAACAATCCATGTGATGTGGATTTTAGCATTAGATACAGCAAAAATCCAAATAAAGTTATAACACTTTATTGGATGGTGTTTAATATTTGCACTTGGTTTCCTATCCATCCTATTGTAATGGAAGCTTTTAAAAAATGTGGGAATGCACCATCAGCCCTATCCACAGTTACTCTTTGCCTGTGTTTTGGAAACCCCCTTCAGAGACTTTCTAACAAGACCTTGCTTTGCTTTACCTGTGTTCCTTGGTTTAGGTTGTTATTTGTGCCCCCATGTTATTTAGCTGTGTTTATAGTAATGTTATTCTCAATGAACCTCAGGGTGAACAAGGACAGGCAGGCATCCAAGGGCCTCCAGGGCTACCTGGGCCCCCAGGACCACCCGGGACTCCAGGACCACCTGGTCAAACTGGCCCAGCTGTAAGTGTCTTTCATGTTTATCTGGATCTCCCCCTCTCCAAGAACCTCTGAATTACCTTTTACCTCTGTGTCTGACTAGTTTCTGAGGTTGCATCAAAGCCTTTGATATCATCTGGAGGTTTTTAAGAAGAGATTGGACAACCATTTGTCTGATCGGGTCTCCTGTTTGAGCAGGAGGTTGGACTAGAAGACCTCCAAAGCACCTTCCAACTCTGTTATACTGTTATGCTGTTATTCTGCTGTGAAATGACTGCATAAGACTGCCAATTTCCTTGCTCCTATCTATTGAAAGGACCAGGGTGAGGTAATTACTCTCTGATTTGAACTCATTTCACTCCCAAGCCAACTGTTAAGAAACTCTTCAAATCTCTTTGATGGTCTGCTCAGATTTACAGAACCTGTGGTATCTCAGAAAGACTTGTTTTTCTGTTCCCATAGGGAAAAACCGGAGAACCTGGCAAGGATGGAAAGGTAGCCATTTAATCTTTTTTCTTGCATTTGTTTGCATAAAAATTATTTTCTCAGAGCCTGAGAAGAATATGGGATGCATGTTGAATTTCAGGGGTTGCATGGAGTAATAGATGAATTCCACTGCAAAGTTTATTCATCAGACAAAAATCATATTTCTCCTAGGATGACGTTTCTGGACTCATTTTAGTCCTGGTTATATTGCATAACTGAGGGTTCGACTGGCAGTGAATGGAAGGAGACTCAGCCATTCCATGCAAGAGCAAAGATTTTTAATTAATTTTGCTTTAATTGTGAAATAAGATCCCATCATAAATTTTCATATTTCATAATTGTCTAGCTGCTTATGGATGGCAAGGAGAGATGAATAATTAATGTGCTATTTCATAGAAAGCTCTTATAAAAAAATTCTCTGACTGTATTTTTAAAGTTAGCTTTTAAGTAAAATGCCACACATTTGGAGTTAAACAAAATTCAGTGAAAGTTTCAGTTTCAATTCAGTTTCACAATTCAGTGAAAGACATCATATTGAAGATCCCAGCTCCTAGAATTTACAGGCAGGATTGGAAAAACTGGCTGAAATTGTGGAATCTCCACCAGTCAGTATTAGCCATACTGATGTAGGAGATGACCAGGCAGAACCTGAGGGTGGGATCAAACATATCATCAGCTTGGAATTGCTATGCTCCTACCAGAAACTTAAGTCCACCCACCCATCCACCCACCCCTGTGAATTCTGCTTTGACTATTAGTATACCAGGTTTTTATATACAGGTAACATGAAATAAACTTGCAGTCCTTTTGAACTCTATTCTGGCTCCTGGTTTCTTGCATCTGACAACTGCACTATAGATAGTCCTTGACTTACAACAGTTCATTTAGTGATTGTTCAAAGTTGCAATGGCACTGAAAAAAGCAACTTATGACGTTTTTCATACTTACAACCAGCATCCCCTTGGTCATGTGATCAAAATTTGGATGCTTGGCAACCGACTTATATTTAGGACTATTGTATGTCCTGGAATCACACAATCAGCTTTTGCCACCTTCTGACAAGCAAAGTCAATGGGGAAGCCAGATTCACTTAACATCCATGTTACTAGCTGAACAACTGCAATAAGTCACTGGATAATTGTGGCAAGAAAGGTTGTAAAATGGGGCAAAACTCACAACAAATATCTCACTTAGCAACGTACATTTTGGGCTCAATTGTGGTCATAAGTCAAGGACTACCTGTAATAAACCAGGGCTCTGATGCAACCTGAGGCAGTTTACTATCTTCTATGTTCCAATCTGAAAAGTACAGGGAGGAAAATGATAGAGGAACAGCAAAGAAATCCCACGGCTGGAGTGCATAATTACAAAGGGTATAGGGATTGCTAAAGAATACAGATTCAAATGCATCCTTGAAATCTGACCAAGTAGATTCAAATCCATCTCTCCATTGAAAAGCATTTCATTAAACTTCATACAACCAATGCAAACCATAGTGACGTGTAAGTAGAACTAAAGGAAGGGCAGATCTTATCCCACAGCTAAGGTGCTTTTCCCATTTTTGCTACTTTAATGATCTCATGTTCCTCTATCTTCAGGGTTTGCCAGGAGTTCCTGGACCAAAGGTGAGTAAAATACCTTGAAATAAATATCAGATCTTAGCAGAGTCTTCTGAAATTTCAGTGCTTTGTACATGAAAATTGCAATAGATAAAACATGGCTAGAAATCCAGTTGCCAAGACAAGATCAGATCTAATTGTAAAGTGCTTCTCAGCTGAGCAAGGAAAATGTTTGCAATTAAAAAAAAAAGAATTATTTTTTAAAAGAATCCAGTTCTAAAATTAACCAGCTGCAAGAACATTCCCTATGTCTTAGACTTTAATTTTCCTAATTCCCAAACATATGATCTTAGAAACTGGGCTGTGTATTATTTGTATACTGGATCCAGTTCTTAATGATATTTAATTGTGTGAAATGAATTGACTAAGACACATTTTGAAAAACATAACTGACTTTCAATATTCAAACATGTGGGGAGAAGTTTAATAAGATACTAGGTAGCGAGCTTACACAGAAGTCTTTTGTTAGGACACAGAGAAATTGGCAATCAAAATCTAAGTATTTTTTGTTTGCTTGTTTCCATATATTTCTCCTTCTGCTACATGACACCATCTTTCCCATCTAAGGACAATTTTTCTTAGCAACCAAATTCATGTGGATCTTAGAGGGTAAAATGGCCCTTAAGTATAGATATCGTAATTATTTTCTTAAGACATGAATACTCTCCAGTGGTCTAATTCTCAGCTAATTCAGTATCTTATTCAGAATCTTGATTTGTGTTCATTTTCTTTTTAAAAAAATGTTTTGGTTTGAGTCTCCAGGTAGCTCAATTCACTCAATTTTTTTTCTTCTGTTCGCTTGAATTTATAGGGTGACCCTGGACTTCAAGGATACCATGGAAGGAAGGTATGAACAATATAAAAATTGAATTAGAAAGTAGGCATATTTAAATTCATTAAAGTGATCCAGAGCCATCTCGGAATATGATACACCATTCTTATGCATAGATATCTAAGCATTTTCCTAACCATGGTATTTACTTAATTTCTTACTGTGAGCATCTTTGACTAAGAGTGCCAGGGCCTAGAACTGTAGGAATTACAATTACAGGTAACATAATCCTACAAAGACTGATTTTATATCCCATTAAAAGCATTTGCACCCACAGTAAGTCAAGAAGCTCAGCTGCTTAATTCTTCTCAATTCTTTCATAACATATTGGTAGTTATTCTTCTGCTTCATTTACTATGATCAATTTTATTTTGATGGTTGACTTTTATTATACTGTAAGTTCAAGTGAATTTATCACATACTGTAGATTGTGGCAGGAGTTCATACTAAAGTCATGTTGCAATAATTCTGAAATCCAGCTATTAAATCTACTGTTCAGCACCTAGGGCTAAATTCTAAAATTTTATGATGAGTGTTGTTTTAAGGGGGGAAATTTAATTGCAGTAATAATGGCACAGAACTCTGAAAACTAGTCTATACTATATTGCTATTCTACACTTATAGAGTGTAGAATAATTTAATCTGGAGACTGTTGTTATCAAGACTCTCTCTTTTGAGTTAACACCCTGTTGTTATTTTACAGATATAAATATGAGATTCATACTATAGGACTGGGCTGCATACATCTGTATGACCATTAGAGATAGAGAAAATTCTAGGGTCATATAGATTTTGTAGCCTGTATTTGGTAGTCTAGAAACTAATCAAAATATGACAAAGGGTGGATTTCTGTAAAGTGTAAAGCCAGCATTACGTCCACTAAAATTCATTTGATGGAGATCATATATTAAATAAACATTTATTAGTAGTATATCAAGCTCCTGAGATGTACTTCTAATTAAATATGATTCAGGAACTTGAATTTCTAAACAAATAAAGATTGGCATGAAGTTGCACACAACAGCAATTATAAACCACAGATTTTATCTACTGAGAATATCATATTAGTCAAATTGTGCTACTAAATCATGCTACTATAGCAGGGTGAAAGGTACCTGTCAGACCCACTAGTAAACCAAATCAGGAAATCAGTTCCACAGGAACATTAAAACTTCTTATTTTGAGATGGGCTATAATAAGAGATGGTCAGAATCTTACAAATCTGATTGCCCTGCACCTGCTCCTCTTCTTGCAGTCCAGGGCATTAGGAAGATGTCTTTCTGAGCAATATTAACTTGTTTCACAGGACGTAATAAGTGTTTCAGTTCCTTTTGCCTAGTTAATAATTCTTGCTTATGTCCATCTTTCATACTCCCTGCAGTAACTCTGAGAATAATTCTGATTATAAATCTGTTTTAAGCATCTAAACAATATGTTTGTTCAATCCCTGCTCAATGAAAGCTTTGCAGTGTAGGATCTCCAAGAGAGTGGGCATTCATTTTTCAACAGAAGTGAATATCTGTAGTTCTGGATCGAACTCTGGAATCCTTGGTCCTTTCTGAGCAAGTTTGTTTGATTGTAGGTGTTTTATTACCCAACTAGGTTACCTCATTGTACCTAGTTTTGTAATGAAACATCTGCAAAGAAACAACCATAGTTAGAAAGCAGCAAGGATTCCATATTCACTTCTCCTTAAATGGTTCTGGAAAAGAAGAATCTCCCAATGCAGACTTTTAGGAAGTTATTGATATGTTAATTGCACAAAATTGTCCTAGCATTATATGCTGATATAACGATCTCAGACTATCAGAGAGGGATCAACTTGATCTAATATAACTGAGGAGAAGAACAGAACAGAACAGAGTAGAGTAGAGTAGAGTAGAGTAGAGTAGAATGGAATGGAATAGAATAGAATAGAATAGAATAGAATAGAATAGAATAGAATAGAATAGAATAGAATAGAATAGAATAGAATAGAATAGAATGGGACATTGGAGATCTTCTAGTCCAGCCCCCTGCTCAAGCAGGAGATCCTATACCTTGTCAGTCAGATGATTGTCCAGTCTCTTCTTAAAAATCTCCAGTGATAGAGTGCCCACAATTTCTGGAGGCAAGCTGTTCCACTGGTTAATTGTCCTGACTGTTGGGAAGTTTCTCCTTAATTCCAGGTTGCTTCTGTCTTTGATCAGTTTCCAACCATTTGGTGTTTGGAGAATAATTTGATTCCCTCTTCTTTGTGCAGCCCCTCAAATACTGGAATACGGCTAATCATGTCACCCCTGTTTCTTCTTTTTTTTAAGACTAAAGAGACAAATTCATTTCAGGCAGTGAAAGGATAGAATGCTAATAAAAGAGAGCAATTCAATAGATAATTGTATAAACAGGAATTAATATTCTTAGCAGTCTGCAGTTATGCATATTGCGTAAGTTTGTATACATTATTTGGCTAAAATATTAACACTTGGCAGACTTCTCTTGAAATCTGCATAAATCAAAGAGCTGGCCTTCTGCAAAGAGGTGAAAATCATAGTCTCTGTGGCCCAGATCCATCTTTTCACATCTGTGTGCACAATTTATGGCCTCTTTTCCAATGACAATGATGTTTTCTTCATTAGCTGACTATGCAATACTTAATGGCTTTACAGCTCTCAGGAGAATTAAGCAAGTCACTGATCTGCGGTTGTGTGGGTGTGCATCAGTGAAAGAGCTGTCTTCTTACAATATAGGAAGCACTTCACAGGTCTGAATTTGTAATCAGTAGAAGAAAATTTTTATTTTGACCTATAAGAAGAAAATCCTAGGATCTTTCTTATTGTATTACATTAGATTTATATGCCACTTTTCATTCAGAATCTCAAGGCAGCAAACACAATGGTTTCTCCTTCCTTTCCCTCCCACAACAACAACCCTGTGAGGGCTGAGATAGAGTGACTGGCTCACCCAATGAGCTTTTGTGAAGGAGAATCTCCCCTTTCCAGGGACTTCAATACCTTCACCACTATTTACATTGGCTCTGTATTGTTGAGATAAAAGAATGCTTGGAAGGCTAGAGCAGATGCCTCCTTGAGATAGATATTTTTTTTCACCATTGAATTTAATTTTGTTAGCTAGGTTCAAATCTGTTGAGATCCTTCTGGATTTTGAATCTATCTTCTGAAGTATTGGCTATTTCTGCCAGCTTGGTGTCATCTGCAGATTTGATGAATTCCCCTTCTGTTCCCTCATGTAAATCGTTTATGAAGGTGTTGAAGATTACTGAATCGAAGGCAGTGGGGTATTCCACTACATATTTTCCTCCATGTAGATGTAGTTCCATCGAGGGCTACATATTGAGTCATTCAGTTACGAATCCATGTGGTGGTGATGCTGCCTAACGCACTTTTTTTCTATCTTATCAAGAAGTAGATTGTGGTCTACTTTATCAAATGACTTACTGAAGTTCAAGTAAATTATGTCCATAGCATTTCTCTGGTCACTTTAGTCACTTTGTCCACAAAAAATGCAATAAGATTTGATTGGCATGATCTGTTTTTGACAAACCCATGTTGACTTCTGATTACACTACTTATATTGGCTTTCTATTATTGAGAGAAAAGAATGATTGGAAGGTTGGATCTTCACTGAGATGGAGGTTCTTTCAGAACAGGGAAGGGAAAGTTACTTTGGGAAGGACGACTTCCCAATGTCAAATGCAAACGTATCTCTTCCAGTGCTCTATTGTGTGCATCGTTCCGAAACCAGAAGGTAACTTTGGTTTAAAAGAGTTTTATAAGGAACATATAAAACCTACTCAACCAAGACCATTTCCTCCCTGCTGTGTTTTGCATTAACATGTTCACACAAAGGGGGGGGGGGAGAGACTAATGCTTCTTGTGCAAGATTACAGCTTAACCTGAAGATTCTGACAAGTATTCATTGCTTTGAAAAGGAGGGATCCATAACCAGTCTGGCGACTGACAGCGTATCTTGACTATGCTTTTCTAAACATTTTTTAAATTCTTCTTCATTCTCCCATCCCCTAAAAATGTAGGTGTAGTCTCCTAGGCAGGAAAAATTCTTCACTATGTTTTTTTTTGGGGGGGGGGTCTTATCCTAAAGCATGCATTTTGTAAAGGTTCGCTCTATATATCTATTATTATTGTTGTTGCTGCTGTTGTTGTTTGTTGCACAGTCAGCCAGGTGTTTAAACTGGATTTAGCAATTTTATCTACCTGCTGAGCCCTTTTCAAGAACCTGTGGTAGGCAGATGTTGTTTGATGGTGTTAAGCGTATTGTCACAGGTTATAAGCTGTTCCAAAGTAAATCTGCCTTTTGCAATTGACTGATGGTGATTTTGTCAATGCTGATGATGTTCAAGTGGTGCTCCAGTTGTTTTGGGATTGCAACCAAAGCGCCTACTACTATTGGGACTATCTTTGTTTTCTTTTGCCACAGTCATTCTATTTCTATTTGCAGGCCTTTGTATTTTGTGATGTTCTCTTGTTTTTCTTTTTTTATTTTGCTGTCTCCAAGTACTGCCACGTATATTATCCAGACTTTTTTGTCTTTCTTATAGACCAGGGGTGTCAAACTCGCAACATCACATGACATATTGTGACATATCGTGACTTTTTTTGCCATTGCTGACAATGGAGTGGGCACGGTTTCGCTATGATGCATCCAGTCTGCGGGCTGGCAGTTTGACACCCCTGTTATAGACAATTATTAAGTCTGGGATAATATATGGCAGATGATAATGATGATGATGATTATGTTATTATTATTGTTGTTGTTGTTGTTACATTGTCTTGCATCTTTTGTTTAGGGTGAAGTGGGTGAGACAGGCCTACCAGGAACACCTGGACTTCCAGGATCTGCTGGCCCTAAGGTAATTATAATATTGCACTAACAAATATTCATCTTCTGAACTGAAAAGAGAATCATTTTGGCATGTAAAATAGAATGGTCTCGTGATGGGGCCATATATTGCAAGGGAAGAAAAGAATCCAGGTAGGCACTTCCAATATAAGAAGCAGCCCTGTATGGATAGAGTATCTTCACGTCAGGTAGAATCTCTGTTCATCAGGATCATCCCTTGTCCGCAGACACCCTAGGCAAGTGTTTCTCAACCTTGTAACTTTAAGATATATGGACTTCAACTCCCAGAATTTCACAGCCATCAGGGCTGGCTATGGAATTCTGGGAGTTGAAGTTCACATATCTTAAAGCTACAAGGTTGAGAAACAATGCTCTAGATCAGGGGTCTTCAAACCTGGCCCTTTTATGACTTGGGGATGACAACTCCCAGAATTCCTCAGCCAGCGTGCCTGGCTGAGGAATTCTGGCAGTTCAAGTCCACAAGTCATAAAAAGGCCAAGTTTGAAGACCCCTGCTCTAGATATTTAAGCCAAGACATGCTTAGGATTATTTTACAACCTGGCTGCATGTATAATTGGCAGGATATATAATGAAGGTATATGTCAATCTCTGAAGAAGGGGTGTTTATATTATCTTTCTAAAAACACCTCTCTCTATATATGCAGATCTCCAGTGTCAAAAATAGCCACAGAAAGGTTTTTTTAGCCGATAATATTGTCACTAGATACACTATGTAAGTGATAGCAAAACTATTTCTTCCTTTGTATCTATAGAAATACTATCACTTTCTGATGCTTCATAAGGAATGAATAACCCGATCCTTTGTGTTCCTTTTGTACAAATTCTGTTCTGTCCAATGTCTTCTGTAGCCTGTGATGCTCAAAAAAAATTCCTTTTTGCTTTTCCTAGGATATAATTTTTAAGATTTGCCCTTGCATTCAAATGACAAGAGGCATTCCAAAATATAAAGAAAAGGAATTAATTAATTAATTAATTGGAATTAATCTTCATATTAGACAAGGAAGTGTAAATTATTTGTTTTTATTTATTCTTTTTATTTATTTTATTATTTCTATAGCCACCCAACTCTACCATTGAATAAATAGTGTAAAATATTTCAGATTGTTTAAAAAATGTGGGCCAAATGAAATTTTCCACTTCTTTATTTCATATATATGTACTATTATTATAATTTATGTAAAGTAAGGCTATGGAGGCTCCAAAATTGACTCACAAGTGCTGTTGATCTCATGGAAGCAACACTTTTCTGATATTCATTGCAGCAGCCTACTTTTTTCAACTTTCACATGAAACTGAAATAAAAGATGCTTCTTGTTGCTTTTATTTAGATTCGTTAGATTTAATCCCATCTTTCATTTAGGAACTCAAGAGATCATACATGATGCTTTCTTCTTCTTCTTCTTCTTCTTCTTCTTCTTCTTCTTCTTCTTCTTCTTCTTCTTCTTCTTCTTCTTCTTCTTCTTCTCCTCCTCCTCCTCCTCCTCCTCCTCCTCCTCCTCCTCCTCCTCCTTTCTCTCTTCTCCTCCTCTTCCTCCTCTTTCTCCTTCTTCCCCACCCCCAAAAAGCAACCATATATAATAGGTGAGATTGAGGGAAAGAACATCTATCCTTGGGAGCATCTGTGGCTGAGCAGGACCACCACCTGAGTCTTTCTGACACCAAACAACATCTTAGTCAAGATACCACACTGGCCATCTGCATGGATAGCCACATTAATTTCAAAAGGCAGCAAATGACTCAGTGGCTTGTGATATATCTGGTTCGCTCTGATGACATTTCCAAAAAAAAAAAAGTCTGTTCCCAATCTTTTCATAGAATTATAGAATCATAAGGCTGGAAGGGACCTTGGAGGGCTTCTAGTTCAACCTCCTACCCATCCCAGACAAATGGTTGTCCAATCTTTTCCTGAAAACCTCCAGCAATGGAGTAACCACAAATCTGGCAGACAAGCTGCTCCATCCATTAATTATTCATTCTCAATGTCAGGAAATTCCTCCTTATTTCCAGGTTAGATCTCTCTTTAATGAGCTTCCACTCATTGCTTCTTGTCCTGCCCTTTGATGCTTTGGAGCAGGGGTCTTCAAGCTTGGCAACTTTAAGACTTGTGGACTTCAACTCCCAGAATTCCTCAGCCAGCCCTGGAGAATAAATCAACCCCCTCTGTTCTTTGACAGCCCTTCAAGGATTGGAAGTCAGCTATCATGTCATCCCTAATCCTTTTCTTCAACCGGCTAGTTCAACATCCTGAGTTTCAAGAATAAACCTCTTTCACTCTGCACCCATTTGATGTGGCAGCTGAGTTGGTCTGTTTTCCTCTTTATTCCTCCATCTCTGTTTCTGAATGTTTTGTTTCTGCTTTTCCCCTTGCATAGGGGAGAAAGGCAGACAATAGCCTGAAGGTAGGCATGGAAATACTTTGAGGTCAACTTGACACAGGACACTTTGTTACTCAAAATAACCCATTGTTATGAAAACCACAGCCCTAGACAGACTTATTTAGTGGCAAAGACATCTGTCTTGTGTTGCCATTCAATTAATCACAAGCAGACATCCCATGTCTTATTTCCACCATGTACAAAGGCCTACTCAGTGAAAACTACCTTGAAGGGCTCCTTGGAATTTGACTCTTGCCAAAGGCCTCTACTTTGACCACTCAAATTGGCTGATGATTTCTTGTTTTCCTGCACCTTGAGGGAATGGATTGAGCGGTTTTTTCCCCCAAAAAATCTGGCTAGCTGACACACATCAAATCTATCTGGGGTCAAGAGGTCCTGACGCTGAGGTTTGGCATGCTCCTTTCTCTTCTTTTACTACTTAGGATTCTTTGAAAAGCTAACCTGATTTAATGCCCATATGTTATTTATTCAACTGAAATCTATATTGAGCCCATGCAATTTAAATATATTACTGTCCTTTTAAAAAAAGCATCTTACCATTTTGGCTAACTTTCACAAAAGGTAAAGCAAAAATTGCCTGGCCAGAGTTAAAATGCCTGGTTCTCATATATCATAAATGCAAATGTGCGCGTTTTGATCTAAAAATGGAAATGGATGCTTTTTATTTTATTTCCCTGCTCCCATCAGGATCTGCTTAGATCAACATTAGTTATATGATACACATATTGCAGTAAAAGTCAGCAATAATTGATCCAAAACAGTCTTCCTTGATTTATCGCCTCATTTTCATGAGCAATCAAAACATGTATAGTCAGTTACTAATACAGTCTTCTCCAAATTGATGTCCTCCAGATGTTCTGGACAATAAATCCCATAATCCTTAACAAGCAGGGCTGGGAATTGTAGTTTAACATTTTACCAGGCCACCAGATTTGACAAGGCAATATTAGTAAGGAAGAAAGTCCACCATATGCAACATTCAGAGCAACTTAGTAGGAAATTTGAATTTTACACGTCAATTACTTTCTAAGGAATGAAAGAGTAACTGCCTTCATTCTAAAACTGGAGAGCAAATATACAGATTTGTAAAGGAAATAGTAGGTAGTTGGACTGTACAAAGCTTTGAAGGGTGTTCTGCTCTGAGTGGAGCACCTCTTTGAAGCTCCTCCATGAAGCAATGCAGCACAGGCCTTCTAAAGAACAAAGGAAAGCTGTCCCAATGCTTGTTTTACATCATTCCATTCACATCTTTTTTGTGATATGGTGACCAAAATTGGCTGCAGTATTCCAGGTGTGGTCTTACTAGGACTTTATAAAGCGGTACTAATACTTCATGTGATCTTGATTCTATGCCTCTGTTTATGCAACCCAGGATTGTATTAGCTTTTTTGGCTGCTGCTGCACACTGCTGGCTCGTAGTCAAGTGATTGTCCACTAGGACTCCAAAGTCCCTCTCACAGTTATTGTTTTTAAGCCAGGTCTCACACAATCTATAATTGTTCCTTTGGTTTTTCCTGCCCAAGTATAAGGCTTTGCTTTTCTCCACTCAGTAAGACAGTTAGCATAAGCCTCAACAGCTTGAAGAGCCATGAAAGTAAAGCTTCATGAAGACCTGCTTGGGTGATCAAGCATGCTAAATTTCTCTGTTGATTTCATTAGTAAACATCTTTTCTCCAGTCAAGATTTCCAGGCATGTTTGTTGCCTTGTGGGAAAAGGGGGCTGTGATGGAGGGCATAGCAGATAAGCAATGATAACTATATGATAAGGACCATCCACATGCTGCCACTGCTGATGGACAACAGAACTCCTGTTTTCTTTCCCCAGTAAAGAAGCATATCACATCAGACTTCTATATAAAACAATACAATAGCTACTCAACTGAAGATAAGTAACTGTAAAAAAAACAAAAACAAATGGAGTTCAGTAGTACTGCCTTTATCTGAAATTTTGTGTATTATACTGTTGAGACAAGATATCAGTGGTCATCAAGAAGTTAAAGAGACGTTTATGGACATCTTCAAAGATTCCAACCAATTATAAATGATGAAAGACTGAATATAAGGGCTTGGAATGGTGTGACAAGGCGATGCAGTGATTTGCATAAGGAATGAAACAAGAAGAAAAAGAGAAAACATTACACTTACAATAATTTTCAATTTTTTAAAAAACAATGAATTGTTTTAATTTGCTAATGAAGGATGTGACTTCTGTAGATCAGCTAGATGCTGCCTGCTGTCCAACAGCCAAATTCCAGTCATTTATAGGTTTTCCTTGGCCCCTTATTTTTATGCAAATAATTTGGCAGATTGTGTCACAATGTCCGCTTCGTCAGAAAAATCGCAATGATTTCGCAAGGATGGATTCCTTGTGTTTTTTTCCCCCTAAATTCTCTTCTATTAATTGCATCCAACGTGATCCATCTCCTTAAAATTCAACAATGCTGTCTTCACTGAATGGATGGGAATCTATTTTTTTTTGTCCAGAATTTTGCTTCAATGTTTTGGAGATTGTTGTTCCTGCTGATTTGGAGGGTGGATTGCTTCAGGAGTAGATTATTAAACCCACCAAACATTACATTTGATGGCATGGTTTAAGATCCTTTTAGATATTTTCAAATGCCACCTACCTTAACCTATGTTTGATGCAGCTCCAGGACTCTTTCACAAACATTTTGATAGAAGAAAAGAAAGAAGGGCCAATCCATTCAACATATTTTAGTGTTGATTTCCATATGAACGTGCAAGTTGCCTATTATTTTCCATGAGCAGCTGAACAAAAGACATGCAACTTATCTACTACAGGTTTCTGGAGAATTTGACTCTATAAGCCCAGCTAATTTGGTAAATTTGAAGACATACAGCTTCTTAATGCAGACTTTACAGTGAGCTAGCAATCAGAAGGTACCACATGTAACATAGTAGAAAAGTGTCCCAACCCCCATAAAAGATTTAAGTTTAAAAAGGATGCCAACAGGAGATGTTGTGCTCTTGGGCAAATTCTGAACTTTCAAATTAAGTCTTCTACTGCCCTCTGGCGGTTTAGCAGAAGACATTATCTGTCCATGTCATATTTCAAATTTGCAATTGATTTATGTAGTTTCATCTTTGGGTAATGACCTTTGTTCATGTTGCTACTTGTTGCAAATATAAACACTTTGCTTCTTTGTTTTGCAACGGCAGTTTTGTTCTTCCTAACTGCTGCTCTTAATCTTTATGATTGCCATTCATCTGATTTGCCCCAATTGCTTTTGATTGTAGTGTTGTCACTACCACCTAGCTCTCTTGTGTTTATTGATGACCCTATAACACTATCCCTGAGTGTGGCAGTTGTGTGTAAACAAAATCATGTGTGGCCACTAAATTAAAAATGCAAATGAAATTAGGCATGATTAAGGCTAAAAATAATAATGCTGGTCATTATTGCACTAAACTCAGAATGAAGGGGTTTTTTCCATTTTTATCTCAAATCTGGTTGTAAAAATATAAGCAATTTATTATTATTCCCATAGTTAAAATACAGAACAGCCTAGCCAAAAAGCCCTATACTCCTGTCCCTTGGATTTTTCAGCTAGGGGAAGGACTAACTTATTTTGAAGACATGTGGACTTCAACTCCCAGAATTCCCCTGGATGAGGAGTTCTGGGAGTTGAAGTCCACACATTTTCAAGCTGCCAAGATTGAAAAACACTGCTAGCAGTAAATGATACTGTGCAGTTGAGGAGGGAATTGGCACTGGGATATCATTTCTGTCAGTTCCCGCTTCATATATGTTGCCAAGTTCTACCCTAACAATGAAAAATATTAGGTGTTATTGACTTCCATCAACTTTAAATCGTTCCACACCAGTTTCCATATGTTGAGGTGTTTGCACTGAGTCATTCCCATAACACAACTGGGTCAATTTCCTTCATAAAGCTGTAAAGAAAAGGTGAGCTGGAAAATGCTGAATTTAAAGTAATCTTTTTATGGTTCAGAGTAGTTATGATTAAAGTATTACAGATTTTTCTCTGTTCTCTCAATTGTTCTTGGCGCTTTAAGATAAGTAGACTTCAACTCCCAGAATTCCCCAGGGCCTTTCCTTCCACTGAAGTCCTCCCTTCTTAAAGTTGCCAGGTTTGAAAAACACTGTGGTAAAGCCTTCCTGGATGTGACTTAATTTCCCTAACCAAGTGCCATTTCAGTAATATTATTTTTGTTCTGCATATAATATTATTCCAAAGATATGATTTATCTTCCATGTAATGTGGAATGCTTGTTTTAATAGCCCCCAAAGCAATATAGGTACTTTGAAAATAAAATAATATAACATTTGCTCTTTGCAAACTGTAGTCAATGTTGCAAGGGGCTAATTTCAGCCAATTGAATGCCATGCAAAAGGACCGGCAGTTCTCTGAGCCTCTTGCCATTACAATGCCTTTTTATTCTTGACTTTCAAAGCTTTTTAGAATCTTATGCAACAGTTTTCTTTTAATGATCACTAATTAACTCTGGGAACTTTACATTTTCTCCCCATTCTTCCTTGCTCTTTATCTTCTTTATTTTGTTTTCCTCTTCCAGGGGGAAAGGGGAATGCCAGGGCTGCCAGGAAAACAAGGAGTTCAGGTATTCTGCAAGGAATGGAGTGATTTATCCAGCTACTCTAATCCATACCTTTCAACTATTCTCCTACATTTTGCATATGACTCCAACCTGGTGTGTGTATATGTCTCTTTTATACATATATATGTTGCACCTGTTGCACAGAAAGAGTTGCACCATTCTGCGACTCTTTAAACCAGCTAGGTCTTCTCCCAAAACCATTGCAGTTAGAGCAGAGAGCAGAACAAAATGGAACATCAGGGCTGTCCAACCTTGGCAGTCCTTAAGATTTGTGAACTTCAACTCCCCAAATTCCCCAGCAAGCATGGAAAATTCTGGAAATTGAAGTCCACAAGTCTTAAAGTTGCCAAGGTTGAACAACCCTTTGCTACATAATCAAGTGCTATGTCTGTCACAGGACTAAATCCTCTGCATTACTTTTATGGAATCAGATCCAAATCACTGCAAATCATAAAGTTCAATTTAGCAGAGAAAGAACAAAGAAAAAATGTTGAACAAACGGCATGTTCATTTCTGCATTTCCATTGTAGAAATAAGGAAAAGAAAATTTACATATTTTCTTATACTGTATGCATTGAAATCACTATGTAATTCATTAATGTGACCACAAAACAGTCATCAAGAGATTTGTTGGGCTATTATATATTATTACATTGTAGAAGTGAACAACATTTGATGCAAGTTCTAATATTTTATTAGTTTTCAGAGATAAGAATTGCATTGAAGTTTGTGCTTTGATTTAAATCCCTGTTTGGCTTAGGTTTAACTATGTATATATCAGGCACTCAAGAAATGCACATTTTCTAAAACATTCAAATTGGAAAAAAAATTAAATTTATCTATTTGACAAAGGACTGACATGCCATTTCTTCAATTAAAACTATCATCCAAAATTTGTTTTCTGTCTAGCATCCTCTTCATCCTTCTAGCCCATAGGTACTAACCCTTACTTACATCTGATTCATTTCTTACTATTTCTTTCATCTGTTTATGACACAGAAGCCCTGATTTCCATCTCTGTCCTTGTGTTTTTTAGCTTTGTCCCTGATTTCTGTTTCAGAAAGTTGAGAGGTATGATCCTTCTCCCCTCTTCTTCTATCTCCATCTGCCTGTTTCATTCCTCTTATGGTTTGCAAGCTCTTCTCAATTATCTTCTGATTGGGCTCTTCAAGAAGCCATATCTTTGTTGTTCATCTTTTGCATGAAAGCCTCCAGACATGTTATCCCAGTTCTAACCATAATCGTCTTACCTATTCCTATTTTCTCCTTATACCTACTCTTGTTATTCTTACTGAATAGCCTGACACAGGGCTTTTCAAATTTAGCAACTTTAAGATGTACGGACTTCAATTCCCAGAATTCCTCATTCACCATGTTAGCTGGGGAATTCTGGGAGTTAAAGCCCACAAATCTTAATACTTCCAAGTTTGAAGATCACTGGCCTAACAGATACTAACCATATCACTAATTTGCAGAATATGCAGCTCTTTCACCAACATAGCCATAAAGAATTTTGCACTTCTGTATGCCCTCATTTTATCTCATCTATTTGGCTTTCTTAGTTGTTTTTGCTTACTATTTAGTATCATTTCCAGGAAGATTTTTTAATTCATGAGGCTGATTTCCTATTTTTCTACTTTCTTCTCTTGAAGCTGTTTCCCCCTGGGAGATGCAGTCAATTGTGACTGGGGAGATGCAGTCAATTGTGACTGCCTGAAGTGGGCAGGAGATTTGCCCCAAAGATGAATAAAATAATCAGTTTTAGCATTGCTTCTCATGTTGAGAAACATACCTAAGAGCAGCAGAAAAGAACCTGCTCATATATGATTCATTTCCTTGCCATGTCCTTTGTAAGCACTTTCCAAATAGATTGAATTATTTTATTCTAAATATTCAGAGTTGTCCTCTGGCCCTGATATATAATATATATATATATATATATATATATATATATATATATATATATATATATATATATATATATATATATATATCATTATCATTTAGTTTTTGATGTATCATTACATCCAGCAGAGGTTTGATTGCATGGCTGTGCCCATGATCATGACTTTTGAGAGCTTTCCCCTCCCCATTGACTTCCCTGAATGGATTAGATAGATATGTGGTACTATTAAGTAGTGCAATTGCTGCCATTACAATAGGTAGTATGACATAAAAGGAAGAGCTACGTATTTTTACAGATGCTTTAGCTCAGGATTGTCCAAGCATGGCAATTTTAATACTTTGCACTTCAACTACCAGAATTCTCCATTTAGCCATGCTGGCTGGGGAATTCTGGGAGTTGAAGTCCACAGGTCTTAAAGTTACCAAGGTTGGACACCCCTGCTTTAATACTGATGAAGATTCTATTCCATAAGAATCCTGCTTAGAACTGGGTTTGACAATGTTCTTGCCAGGATAGTCCCCAAGAGTTTCTTCTGGTATATGAGCACCTATATAAGTTTGTTTAATAGCAGGCTGTAGCATTTTTATATGGAAAAAGAGAAAGGGAAATTGGTTCTGTTTTTTTCTGTATCCAACTCGTTAAATGTGACTTGAGGGGGCATTGGCAAAAATGCCCCTCAGATCTACAACAATATTATAAAGGAATAGTAAGATTGGGTGCCCCATATACTCCTCATGACTTCCATACACAAATCTAAATATTAATCCAAACTCACCTATCAACTTTTTTATTCTTCCAGGTTTCATTTTATTTTCTAAAAGGTTGTTGATCCAGTTATATCTGGGTAAAATTTTGTGTTAGTGAATTTCTCTGTGTGAGATTTATTGGAATTTTTAAATAGATGTAAATAGAAACTGAAAGAAATCTGAAATGGTCTTGGGCACAAAGTTTTTGACACAAAAAGTCAATTACTCAGGAAGAAAAGAGCCATCCCTTTTTCTCAGTATTTTTTTCTTTTTCTTTTTCCTAATGTAGGGTGAACCCGGGAATCCAGGAGCAAAGGTACTGCACTTAAAAAAATTAATAATAATCTGTGCTAAATTTATTCAGCCATATTTTATTTTAGTCTCTTAAGTAGATCTGGTATTATAATAACCAATATGTGAATAACTGATTAAAAATATGCTGGATGTCAAATATGTTGGCTATCAAATGGGGTAGTTGGCTTCTTCTGTTTGCTGTGGAGTAGGAGTCTCCAAACTTGGCGACTTTAAGAGTTGTGGACCAACTCCCAGAATTCTGGAAGTTCACAAGTCTTAAAGTAACTAGGCTTGGAGACCCCTACTATGGAGAGAAAAAAGGAGAGATTTATTTCCAAACTAAACTTACTACAACCTTGTTCACTATTCATACATGTTGTTCCACGCTGGAATCTTTAGTGCCAGGAAGCACTATTAACTTACCATAGAATCTTCCTTAGAGGAATAAGAGTGATTGTCATGTGGTGATTCATTTTTGAATCAAGAAATCCACAGTTCATTCATTGGCCTTACAATCTGAGCCAAACCACTATCTCTTAGCTCAGGAGTCTTCAAACTTGGCAATTTTAAGACTTATGGACTTTAGCTCCCAGAATTTCTCAGCCAGGCTGAGGAATTCTAGGAATTGAAGTCCACAAGTCTTAAAGTTGCCAAGTTTGAAGAGCCCTATCTTAGTTCTTCTCTTCCTCTCCAATGTACATTAGAGAGATACTAACAGTAGCCATCATGTGACTTGCTCACACTACTTCAAAGCATTATGCAAATATTATTGTTGTTGCTATGCTTATCACTAGTTTTTAAAGCATATTTTTATATTGGTGCTCTTATTATTTATATCAGTAGGATGCTTAGGTGGAGTGTTGGGTAGAAAGACATATATGCACATATACCCATCATATAAAAGGGAAAGCAACCTTAAGTGAAATAGAGAAAGGGAATATGTTGCCTGGTACAAAATGAATAAAAATTTATCACGTGAGAAGTGGGAATTGGGGTGGTCTTAGAATTGCCTTTCATTATTCCTACATAAAACCTATATTATTGTGTGTCCTTTTTTTTCTTACAAAAAAATTAAAAAGGGAGAACGTGGAATTTCTGGGAAGATGGGCCCCCCAGGTTTGCCTGGAAAAAGGGGGTACAGGGTAGGAAAAGATACAAAGCTTGGATTTTGTTTGCCTGCATTGTCCTTTTCAACAACCCACAATTCTGATCCGAGTGCTGTGAGCTAAATTTTCCAAACTGGAAAGACATTTCCATTGCTTACACGGCTGAAATGTAACTCAAAAGTCAAGGCCAACAAAACTATGTTATTTTTGATCAATTTGGTTTTAATTGAAAGTATGAAATAAACATCTCAGCATGCCAAAAGCTTAATAGCAGTGTTATGATGTAGCATGGTTTTTGCATGGATTTAGACCCTTCTGTGTTCTGTGTTCTTTTATTCTGGGAAGGAAAAATTATAAGATCTTTCCACAAGAATGTGTGCCAGATTGATTCATTCTGGGATGGAATACCAAATACCAAGTTTTGTTACTCTCCTTAAGATTTCAAATGTTTTATTTATGCACATTAAAAAATCACTTCCAATTATATATGATAAGGTAATCCAGAAGCATGTTTTTCCAAATCTTCAGGAACTCCTAGAAACAAGAGGACGGCCTTTAGTGACCAAATAATATCCTCTGTGCAATGAAAAACTAAATGTCTAGGCCCTTTCCCTCTGCACCCCAGAAATTAAATTATTTTCTAGTAAGTAGACCTAGGAAAGGGATGAGGCATTCATATGAGCTCAGTGAATGATTTTTGTCAGATAATGGCAGTGCCTTGATTTTAGTATCTAGTTATTAATCACTACTCTCCAGTGTTAATCTATTATGTTGTGAAGATGTTAATGTACTTTTCCTCAACCTTATTAAGAAATGATAATGAACTGGTATGTTACACTAATTGAAAGAAAATATGTAAAATACATTAAAAATGGATGGGAGGAAAAAAAGCTTCTAATATTCACCCAAGAGTAACTTGGGTGAAACGTTGGTCTAAGGCAGGGGTCTTCAAACTTGGCCCTTTTATGACTTGTGGACTTCAACTCCCAGAATTGCTCAGCTAGGCATGCTGGCTGAGGAATTCTGGGAGTTGAAGTCCACAAGTCATAAAAGGGCCAAGTTTAAAGATCCCTGGTCTAAGGATGCAATATTAGGAGCCTCTCAAATATTGTGGGAGAATCATTTCTAAAGAGCTGATGCTGTTATGTAGAAATTCGAACCATGAATGATTTTGAGATAATCCCAAACATTTGTGCCACTTATAGTGGGACTGACAACTTTAGTCATCATGTAAATATATGCATTACAACAATTTAAAATTGAAACTAGCTTGTCTCTGACCAGGAAAGGCTAAGATAGGTATAAGGCCTTTAGTAACAATGATGACAATTGGAGAACCTCTAAGCTCCAGATCTGTTCCTTCAGAACTACTATAGCCCCAATGGAAACAGGCAGTCTGTCAGAATCCAATTATATTTCATCTTTAAATTATCAAATATAGAAACTCCCAATTCTGCCTTTTCTGGATTCTGCCATAAGAGGGAGAGAAGGGGGAGAACAAAGGGGCTTTATGGCCCTCACTTCCTTCTTTACACTTCAAAGAGCGGAATGCTGAATGTGTGTCTATTGTAACCTCGAAGCGTTAGCATACCAAAGGAGGGTAGTTGCCTTTCATGTAGTTATCTGAAGTCCCCATCCAGACGGAAGAAAGAAGAAAGGGGGCGGAATTGTGATACTTGAAACTATCACTGGAAGGGGGGTTGATTGGGTGGGACTACTGGGGAACCCCTTAAAACCTTGAATGGGAGAGCTTGAACCCCAAGTCCTGTCTAGCATGCCTGCAACCATTTTCTCTTAATAAAGGATTCCTGTTGGAAGAATTATTCCAAGAGTTCTGTCTTCTTAAGATGCAAAGTGGGGTGGGTCCTTACATTAGACAGGACTTGCAAAATTAATCCACCTGGAAGGGAGACCCTTGCCGGGGGATTTTGCAAAAAATTTACCATGTCAGACAATGGAGAAAGAGAGGGGGAAAACTCCCTGGAAAGAGAGCCGCTGACCCAGTTGGAACCTTGCCAGATGTTGGGATCTGAGAGGTCAGATTCCTCGGGAGAAGAAGTGGTGGAGACACAGGACCACAAGCCTCGCTGGTCGATGAACGTTGGAAAGAAAAGTGAGTGGAGAAAGGAATCAAGAAAGGTGACCCTGAGACAGGGGACCAAGCAACCAGAATGGAAGCAGGAGATGGAGAAATCCCTGCACGCAAGTGAAGAGGGAGGAAGCTGGGTACCGTACTCAGACTGGATCCTAGAGAAAGCTATTGACCTGATGAAGAGAACTCTCAGCTCCCTAGGAGAGGAGAATACTGAGCCCTACGGCCGCCCCAGTTCCTGGAGCCACAAAGGGAGAGACACCGAGGGGGACGTGGAACCTGCAACCCCAGGGACATCTACTGATCCAGGAGCCCCCACCCCCTACCGGACCACAGATGGCAATCTGGACAGAAGACACTACCACCCACAACGGAGGCACCGATCCATTCCAAGACGTCCACCGTTGGAGGTGAAATTCAAAGGGGAGCCAACACGCTTGGGGTTTTTCCTAACCCAAGTACTCAGCTACATGGAGGAATATGGGCAGGACATTCCCAGCGACAAAGCCCGCATCCGGATCGTGCAATCTGCCCTGGATGGACCAGCTGCGGATTGGGTAGTGAACTTGCATGACTCCAATGCCCCAGAACTCAGTAACTTCAACCGTTTCATGTCCTCTTTGAGAAGACGATTTGAAGACCCCCTGGCTGATCGCAAAGCCCGTGAAAGAATAACAACGATGAGGCAAGGCAAACGCCCAGTGGCCGAGTATACACAAGAATTCCGGGCCATTGCCAGCAAACTGAATTGGCCAGAAGACATCCTCCTTGGCCATTTCAAAGACGGACTAAACTATGATCTATATGATGCTTGCCTGCCCCGAGGGGACCCACATCGACTTGAGGAATGGTACGTCTTGGCAGAGGAAGCAGAGATCGACATATTGAAGAGGCACCGCCGAAGAAAACAATGGAGCCGCCCCCCGCCTGAGCTGACACACCAACCGGTGAAATCATCGGATACAGCCAAGAAGCAAATAGGGTGTTTCAAGTGCGGAAGAGAAGGGCATCGAGCTGTAGAATGCCGCTCAAAGGCCCCCAGCACAACCCAGACAGATTCCCGATCAACAAACCCAGAGGGTATTCAGCTAAGCCAAAAGAAACAGCCATGAAAATGATGGAAATTGCAGAAACCCCCACCTCTGCTCACCAAGGGGAAAGAACTCCAGCCTACACCACAGGGACGGTGGATGCCTCAGATGACAGCTCGGAGGGCGAACCCCTGGTAAGTGGATGCATCACACCCATCTTCAAAACAGTGACTATATTAATCCCCCCCATGCCCGAAGCTGTGAAGGTGAAAGCCTTAATAGACTCTGGCTGCACCCGCTGCCTCATTAGCCCAACACTAGTGGGGAATCTGGGCATCCCATCCAGGAGACTGGAACAACCAATCTCATTTGGCCAGCTAGATGGATCCATAGCAGGGGGGGTGCCAGCTACCCTAGCCACTCTGCCAATACACCTCTCCCTGGGCAACCATGAAGAGGACTTAACGTTTGTGGTGACCCCAGGTATGGAATGCCCAATGATTCTAGGGATGGAATGGTTGAAAAAATGGAACCCCTGGGTAAATTGGAGGACGACAGAAATCAAATTCCCGAAGGGGGACCCTATGGACTTAAAACCCCAAGGGAGGCTACCAGAATCAAGAATAGAAAAAGCATCCATAGGAGAGGAAAAAAGATTAACAGAAATACCAGAGGAATATAGGGACCTTGCTGAAGTCTTCAGTGAGGAGAGGGCGAATGAGCTTCCCCCCCACCGACCCACAGACTGTACCATTGAATTCAAGCCTGGGGCAAAACTCCCGAAGCCCAGATTATACTCCATGAGCCCAAAGGAGAAGGAGGAAATGGAAAGATTTATAAAAAAAAACCTGGAGAGAGGTTTCATTGAGCCAGCCAAGCCTAAAGTGGCTGCCCCGGTCCTTTTTAGAGAGAAGAAGGATGGCTCTTTACGTTTATGCGTGGATTATAGGGCCCTGAATACAATCAGTGAAAGCAACCTATACCCGCTGCCCCTCATGAAAGACATGCTGTCACACCTATCGAAAGGGAAAATTTTTTCTAAACTAGACCTAAGGGAAGCTTACTATCGCGTGAGAATCAAGGAAGGGGACGAATGGAAGACTGCATTTAACTGCCCCATGGGGTGCTATCAATTCAAAGTCTTGCCATTTGGATTACAAGGGGGCCCTGCAGTCTTTATGCAATTAATCAATGACATTCTAAGGGAGCACCTATTTAAGGGGGTCCTTGTTTACTTGGACGACATTCTTATCTTTACTGAAACAAAAGAAGAACACGTCAAACTTGTCAGAGCGGTTTTAAAGAAGCTGCGAGCCGCTCACCTATATGCCAAACTCTCAAAATGCGAATTCCACCAGGAAAGGATAGACTACCTAGGCTATCGCATATCCCCACAGGGCATTGAAATGGACCCAGAGAAGGTCAAAGCAGTACTAAATTGGGCACCACCCCGCACAAGAAAGCAACTACAAAGTTTCCTGGGCTTTGCAAATTTTTACCGCCAATTCATCCCCTCATTTGCACAGATAGCCTTGCCCCTCACTAACTTACTAAAAACGAAGGGAACATCCTCAGTAAAACCTAGCCAGCCACTAACATGGACAATGGAGTGCCAAGCAGCGTTTGAGAGACTAAAGAGACTTTTTTCTGCCGAACCAGTACTAAGGCACCCAGACATGGACAAGCCCTTCATAATACAGGCAGATGCAAGTGATGTGGCAGTGGGGGCTGGGCTATTACAAGAAAATGATGATGCAGTATTGCAACCCTGTGCATATACATCCAAGAAACTCACGGAAACAGAACAGCGCTGGCCCGTATGGGAGAAGGAGGCTTATGGGATACGTTGGGCATTACTCACGTGGCGACAGTTCCTGGAAGGCAACAAAATCCCCTTCCAGGTGTGGACTGATCACAAAAATTTAGAAGCCCTGAAAACTTCCAGGAAACTCAATCCCAAACAAGCCCGCTGGTCCCAGCATTTTCACCAATTCCAATTTAAGCTCAAACATTTACCAGGAAGAAAGAACTTCCTGGCAGATGCTCTATCTCGCATGCCCCAATATAACAGCGCACGAACCACAGACTCTAGACCAATAATGGCAGAGTCACAACTGGCAGCACCAGTAACCACAAGAACCCAAGCCAAAATAAAACCACAACTGGACAGCCAAACTGGGATTGAATTCAGAAAAAGTTTGGAAACAGATGAATGGTTCCAGAAAAACAAACATGTGTGCACAATGAGAGACGGATTGCCTTGGGTAGGGGAAAAGTTATATATACCAACAACTCAAAGACTAACTTTCATGCAACTTTGCCATGACACAAAATCAGCAGGGCATTTTGGATTTGTAAAAACTTTACACTTAATTAAACGGCAATTTTGGTGGCCATCAATAAAAAAGGACATAGAAAGTTATGTTGCCAGCTGCCCAACCTGTGCATCAGCAAAGAGGTTGCAAGGGAAATCGCCAGGGCTGTTACAACCAGTGGCAAGTCCCTCAGCCCCCTGGAGGGAAATAGCCATGGATTTTATAGTGGAATTGCCTGAAAGCAATGGGAATACTGTTATCTGGACAGTCACGGACCTATTTTCCAAACAGGTGCACTTTATCCCTTGCCAAAAAATTCCCACTGCAAAGGCCTTAGCAAAACTTTTCATCCAGCACATTTACAGATTGCACGGGGCACCCCAACGCATCATCTCTGATAGGGGAGTGCAATTTACGTCTGCATTTTGGAAGGAATTTTTATCCCTCTTAGGGACCACTCAGGGATTGACATCTAGCCACCACCCTCAAGGAGATGGACAAGCGGAACGCTGCCAGTCGGTACTTGAGCAATATTTGAGATGTTTTTTAAATTTCCAACAGAGTGATTGGACGGACTTACTTCCTTTTGCAGAAGTTGCCTACAATAATGCAGTCCACTCCAGCACAGGCTACACTCCTTTTCAAATAGCCAACGGTCAAAGTTTCAACCCTATGCCAGAGTTAACCCCAAAAGAACCAACGATCCCTTCACTGAAAGAATGGATGGAAAACCTACAAAACACCTGGCCAATAGTCAGAAAATCACTAGATGAAGCTAGGCGGGCATACAAAGCACAAGCCGATAAAAAAAGGGTTGAGCCTACACCATTCATTATAGGAGAAATGGTGTACTTATCTACAAAATACCTAAAGTCCCTACAGCCCTGTAAAAAACTTGGACCAAAATATATAGGACCTTTTCCAATTAAAAGAATCATAAATCCAGTAACAGTAGAATTAGAATTACCCAAAAACCTCAGGCAAATACACCCAATTTTTCATTGCAGCTTGCTGAAAAGAGAGCATCAGTCACATCTACGGCCAAAAATCCCCCCACCACCACCTCCACTCATGGTGGAGGGTGAACAACACTTCGAAATAAAGGAAATCCTTGATTCTAGGAGATATCATGGGGCAACTCAGTACCTAGTTGCCTGGAAACACCTACCTCCCTCACAAAATGAGTGGGTCCATAAACGTCATGTCAGAGCCCCGAAGCTATTGAAGAAGTTTCACACAGAGTATCCTAACAAGCCTGACTAAATTTTATACTTGTGTTTTCTTTCAGGTGGATCTCTCTTATTGTTAAGAGGGGCCGGATGTCAGAATCCAATTATATTTCATCTTTAAATTATCAAATATAGAAACTCCCAATTCTGCCTTCTCTGGATTCTGCCATAAGAGGGAGAGAAGGGGGAGAACAAAGGGGCTTTATGGCCCTCACTTCCTTCTTTACACTTCAAAGAGCGGAATGCTGAATGTGTGTCTATTGTAACCTCGAAGCGTTAGCATACCAAAGGAGGGTAGTTGCCTTTCATGTAGTTATCTGAAGTCCCCATCCAGACGGAAGAAAGAAGAAAGGGGGCGGAATTGTGATACTTGAAACTATCACTGGAAGGGGGGTTGATTGGGTGGGACTACTGGGGAACCCCTTAAAACCTTGAATGGAAGAGCTTGAACCCCAAGTCCTGTCTAGCATGCCTGCAACCATTTTCTCTTAATAAAGGATTCCTGTTGGAAGAATTATTCCAAGAGTTCTGTCTTCTTAAGATGCAAAGTGGGGTGGGTCCTTACACAGTCAGCATTTTCCATATTTACTCATGAAAAGGTCTCCAAATTATCAGGGCTCAGGCTAGATGTAATCCTAATTCTAATACTCAAATGTTGATCACGTGACCGTGGGAAGGCTCCAACAGTTGTAAGTGTGATGACTAGTTGTAAGTCACTTTTGTTAGTGCTCCCATAACTTCAAACACTAACTTACCAAATGGCTGTAAGTGGAGAACTACCTGTATGTAATCTGCATCATTTCTGCAATGACATCATGTTGAATGGGACATCAACTTCCTCCCCTCCCACCACAGATGCCCAGGCTTTCCGGGCAAAAAGAGAATAGTTTGGGTGAGACATCCAGGTTGGATTTTGAAAATCTGGACCTTCTTCTGGATGAAAGCTTGTAAGAGGCATAAGTAAACTATAAAGAGGATGCCATATTATGTCATTTTTTTCAATCCCCATTACAAGATCAAATAAATTATAGCATCCAGTATATGATCTTACTGGTATTTCTTCAGCAGGGCGAGAAAGGGAAACCTGGTGATCCAGGACCTTCTGGAACCACAGGGCAAAAGGTCTGTTTTGTTATCTAAATGGGAAACAGAACAGTGACATATTTTGTTTTATTGCAAGCTCAAAAGCATATGAATTGCTGATTTCCTCTGGGCATCACATATATAAAAATTGGACCTGTAATGAGTGAGACTGAATTTACTACAGATTGAAGACTCCATGTTTAAACTATAAATACAATCCTACTTTATGTGTATTTTCTCCCATTCTCTTCTCTCTGTCTCTCTCTGTCTGGTCTCTGTCTCTGTCTCTCTCTGTCTCTGTGTCTCTGTTTCTCTGCCTATCTCCGTCTCTCTTTCTCCATCTGTCTCTCTGTCTCTGTCTCTGTGTGTGTGTGTGTGTCTCTGTCTCTTCTCTCTCTGTCTGCCTCTGTCTCTCTATCTGCCTCTTTTTCTCTCTGTCTCTGTCTCTCTCTGTGTACGTCTCTGTCTCTGTCTGTCCCTCTCAGTCTGCCTCTGTCTCTCTCAGTCTGCCTCTGTCTCTCTCTGTCTGTCTATATATTATGTATATAATTTGTGGGTTTGTGTGTGTTTCATTTAAAAATCCAGCAAGAAAAAAAAGCCAGTTTCCAAGCAGCACCATTCAAAAGTCTCCCATATCCAATCCCCTGAAGATGCTTAATTTTTACAAAACTGTTTCCCCACCATCAACGTTTCCCGTTATATTAATCTTGGGAAGGTTCTTTTGAAATATCCAATGTAGCCCTCTTTTGTATATTATGGGGTTGTTTTGGTTAATCACAGGACAGGTACTCCAACAATTGAGTCTGGCTTGAACATCTTTGATGTTAATGATCCATTAAGTAAGGTCACCTTTCTCAAGTTGTTACCAACTTGAAACAGGTAATCCTCGACTTACAACCATTTGTTACTGACCATTCAAAGTTACAACAGCATGAAAAAAGTAACTTACAATCGTTTTTTGCAGTTATGATCGGTTCAGCAACTCCATGGTCATGTGATCAAAATTTGGACACTTGGCAACTGGCGTGTGTATTTATGATGGTTGCAATGTCCCAGGGTCATGTGATCACATTTTGTGACCTTCTGACAAGCAGAGGCAATGGGGAAGCCTGATTCTCTTAACAGCTGTGTTACTAACTTCATAACTGCAGTAATTGGCTTAACAATTGTGGCCAGAAAGGTCACAAAATCTGACAAAACTCCCTTAACAGCTGTCTTATGGGGTTCAATTGTGGTCATAAGTTGAAAATTAACTGCTTTCTCCAAATGTGTTGAGACTTCCAGAGTTCCCAGAGTTGCAATTCCATCATTTCTGCGAGCAACAGACTGCCTTTGCATATAGAAAATAGGATTCAATAATATTAATCATTGCTCATTTTATTAAATTATCTTAAGGGTGAAAAAGGAGATTCTAGCAATGCTCTTGGAGGAAGCAAAGGAGAACCAGGCTCTCCAGGACCCCCAGGATTGCCAGGGCCTCCAGGACCAAAGGTGATACATGTAATGAAAAAATGTTCAGAAGTGGGCTATAAATGACTATTCAATACTGTATATTGGATGTATACAGTAGTTTACATAGTGCATTGGATAGTTTTTTCTATTGAAAGAGAGACTGAGAGAGAGAGATTTTCATCAAATAGTACTTGCCAAACAAATAGAAAACCACTCTTTAGTTTCTTCAAGGTATAAAATTCCCTACCTCTCTTATTCTGCTTGCTTCACTTCTTCACCCCTCAGAGCAGGGGTCTCCAACCTTGGCAACTTTAAGACTTGTGGACTTCAACTCCCAGAATTCCTCAGCCAGCAATGCCAAGGTTGGAGACCTCTGCCTCAAAGCACAGAATGGGACAACTTGTCGTGGCCAACTTGCTGCAATCAACTCATCATGGCCAACTTGCCATAGGACAACTTGCCACGGGACAATTCAACAATTCTATTTAATTATTTAAAATAATTAAAAAATATTTTAATTTTTATCATTCATTCTGTCCCTCCTTTGTCATCCTTTCTTTAATGATTCCATTCCATTGTTCCTTTGATATTAGTGTAATTCTTGTCCCACAGCGAGTTGTCCAGTAGTGAGTTGGTTTGGCAAGTTGTCCCACAATGAGTTGGTTGTGATGAGTTGGCTGTGGCAAGTTGCCACAGCAATTTGTCCTAGACCCCCCCCCCCGAGGAAGTGTCTTCCAAGTGTGTAGATACACAACCAGGAGAACAGCTAAGGGGAACAGAACCATTGTGAGTGAATATCTTCAGCCAATGAGTTGCTCAGGGGAATAAATGCCACCCCCTTGTAGTCAGTGAATTAATGAGTCCATCAGCTAATATGAAACACACACACATACACACACACACACACACACACACACATACAAAAGTTCTACAGTAACATACAGTTCATGTTCATACGGACTTACATGATGATATACTGGATTAATGTGGAAAGAGACTTAAGGCAGTTCCATGCCAAATGTTTCCATCCCACAATATCTGAAAAATACATTTATAAACTGACCTGCAATCATCTTCCCTAATTCTAAGCTCAGAACATAGCATGTAGAGCACGAGTGTCAAACTTGCCGCGTCACGTGACATGTCGCGACGTATCGTGACTTTTTTTGCATTGCCGGAGCTGGGGTAGGCGCGGCATCCATATGATACAACCAGCCCATGGGCCGGCAGTTTGACACCCCTGATGTAGAGAGTCCATAGTCCAATCAGTGCTTTCCAATTGTCCCCCAAGTAGCCAATAGGAAAGTAGAAGGAACACAATCCAATCAATCTACCTGTCATGATAACATATGAATGCATTATATTTTAAAGCAACGTATCTGTAGTTAAAATCAGATCAGATTACAGTAATTCAATTATTATATAAATGTATATATCAATAATAAAAGTAAAATTAATATAAGTAGGCCTCCAGCAAGCAATGTCAGTTCCCACATGCTCCATTTTGCCAGGTATTGGATGCAAAATAGACAAAATTCTTATCTTGCTGAAAAGGGGTAACATTGAACTTTTTGTAATTTTTGGAAAATCTTTTCAACTTGAGATTACTTTACTTTTTTGTGTTAAAACATAGTTCTTCCATGCTGGCTCAGGAATTCTGGGAGTTGAAGTCCACAAATCATAAAGAGGCCACTGCTTACCACCTCTGCTCTATATAAACAGAAAATATTAAATTCTTCTAAATATTACCAAGGACTAAACTGCCATTCCTGTATTATATGTGCTGAATTCATTGTATCACAGTCTAAAAAAACCAGCCAAATGCACTTCGGCCAAGTAGGATTTATAAACCCAGCTGCTTTGTGCGTGACAAGAGTTTTGCAACTTTCCTCACAGAATAGGTTTCCATGGACACACATACTTTATTATTAGTATTAGTCCAGAACTCCAGTTCTAACCATGTATACTTTCTTTTAGGGCCTCAAGGGCGAACCAGGGAAGAGTGAAACGGTAGACTACAATGGTAATATCAATGAAGCTTTGCAGGTAAGGATGTAGCAGATATACTATAGATACCAGATTATCATGGTAATGCTTCTGTGAACCTTTTTATTAATTGTTGCAATTTGCTGTTGACTGATTGATTATATGCCGTCAAGTCATTTTGTACTCCTAGCCACCACATAGATATTCTCTATGGTGATGTGTGCTTACCTGTTGTTTGAGGTACCCACTGATGTACTCATTACCAATGTAAATGAGTCCATTCACCTTGCTGCTGGTTGTCCTCTTCTTCTAGTTGCTTTATCTTTTTCTCTTTCTTTTGTCTTCTCTTTCCTAAAGTCTTCTTCCTCTTTCCAATAACCCTTTTTCTCTTTCCTCTAGTCCTTTTCTCTTCCTATAATCCTTTCTTCCTCTTCTTCCTCTTTCTTATAGTCCTTTTCCTCTTTCCTCTTTGCTTATATACAGAAAAATTGAGGGTTACATACAAATTGTGCTATAGCATATGATTAGATCACATATTTCATTTATTCTATTTTATTCCATTTTTCTAGACACATAGATGAAGATGGTAGTGTCAAATCTATGGATCTATACTATTGTTATAGACTGATTGGCACCAGCTAATTGTATTAGATCTCGTATTATTCCAACGTAAAAGCTAATCCTCTGAAATAGGTATTGGAAGGCACAGATGGAAAGATACCTGTGCATTAAATGGCAGGTTGATTGTCTGGAAAAAAAATTATTACTTGAAATTATGTGAATCATATCTTACCTATTGCACTGTAGCATCAATGATAGACATAATATATAACACTTAACTGTTCTTCCATTCAGGAGATACGAACATTGGCTCTCATGGTGAGTTAATCTTCTTATTTATAAGTTGTGGTACTTAATAAAAAGTCAGTTAAATAGGAGAACAGGCCTAGAAATACAGACAAATGTATTATACAGGGGTCTTCAAACTCGGACCTTTTATGACTTGTGGACTTCAGCTCCCAGAATTCCTCAGCCAACTTTTGCTGTGTCCCTGCACAACAGATACAGTGCTGCTGACCTTAATAGGGACATTAAGGAGACAGGTAAAGGTATTTGTGATGATAACTCAAATAAGCAGGGGATCATAGTCTGAGGTGAAGAACTTGTTTTTGACAGGGATGTGTGAATCAGGTATTACATTCCAGTCATTCAAAAGAAACCAGCATGGCTGCATAAAGAACTCTCTGATAAATTGAAAGATAAAAAGGACAAGTATAAAAAGTGGAAAGAGGGGCACATAACTAAGGCAGAATATCAGCAAATAACCCGAGCCTGCAAAGATGAAGTGAGGAAAGCTAAGCCTCAAAATGAACTAAGGCTTGCGACCAAAGTCAAAAATAACAAAAAAAGCTTCTTTCAACATGTAAAAAACAAGAAAAAAGTTAAGGAAATGATTGGTCCATTAGTGGGAGAAAGTGGCAAGAAGGTGACAAGCAACAGGGAGAAAGCAGAACTATTTAACTCATTTTTTGCATCTGTCTTTACACAAAGGGAAAAAACAGACCAACCTATCAAAAATAGTGCCATAAAAAACAGAATAGAAACACAAGTGAAGATAGGCAAGAAAATAGTGAGCACATGTCCAGCCTAGATGAGTTCAAATCACCAGGACCAGATGGATTACACCCCAAGGTTCTCAAGGAACTGGCAAATGTGATCTCAGAACCACTGAAGTATATTTTTCAAAGATCCTGGAGCACTGGGGAACTACCAGAGGATTGGAAAAGAGCTGATGTAGTTCCCATCTTCAGAAAAGGGAAAAAATGAATCCAGGAAATTACAGATCTATCAGCCTGACCTCAATATCTGGGAAGATTCTGGAAAAGATAATCAAACAATGAATCAGCGAACACCTAGAGACAAACAAAGTCATTACTAAAAGCCAACATGGGTTTGTCAAAAACAGATCATGCCAGACAAATCGTATTACATTCTTTGACCAAGTGACAAAATTAATGGACCAGAGGAACGCTGTGGATATAATTTACTTGGACTTTACTAAGACATTTGATAAAGTCGATCACAACCTACTACTTGATAAGATAGAAAAATGTGAGTTAGACAGCATCACCACTACATGGATTCGTAGTTGGCTGACCGGCCATACTCAGCATGTGGTCCTCAATGGAACTGCATCTACATGGAGGGAAGTGTGTAGTGGTGTGTCCCGGGGCTCTGTTCTGGGCCCAGTGCTCTTCAACATCTTTATCAACGATTTGGACGAGGGGATAGATGGGGAACTCATCAAATTTGCAGACGACACCAAGCTGGCAGGAATAGCCAACACTCCAGAAGACAGGCTTAAGATACAGACTTGAACACTGGACAGACTTGAACACTGGGTGCTATCTAACAAAATGAAATTCAGTGGTGAAAAAAGTAAGGTTCTACATTTAGACAAGAAAAACCAAAGGTGCAGATAATATAGGTGGTACCTTGCTCAATAGTAGTAACTGTGAGAGGGATCTCAGAGTCCTATTGGACAATCACTTAAATATGAGTCAGCAGTGTGCTGCAACTGCCAAAAAAGCCAAAACAGTGCTAGGCTGCATTAACAGAGGGATAGAATCAAGATCACGTGAAGTATTAATACCACTTTACAATGCCTTGGTAAGGCCACACTTGGAATACTGCATCCAGTTTTGATCACCACGATGTAAACAAGATGTTGAGACTCTAGAAAGAATACAGAGAAGAGCAACAAAGATGATTAGGGGACTGGAGACTAAAACATATAAGGAACAGCTGCTGGAATTGGGTATGTCTAGTTTAATGAAGAGAAGGATGAGGGGGGACATGATAGCAGTGTTCCAATATCTCAGGGGCTGCCACAAAGAAGAGGGAGTCAAGCTATTCTCCAAAGCACTTGAAGGCAGGACAAGAAGCAACGGATGGAAACTAATCAAGGAGAGAATTAAGGAGAAACTTCCTGACAGTTAGAACAATTAACCAGTGGAACAACCTGCCTCCAGAAGCGGTGAATGGTCCAAAACTGGAAGTTTTTAAGAAGAGACTGGACAGCTATTTGTCTGAAATGGTATAGGGGGTTGGACTAGATGACACTCAAGGTCCCTTCCAATATTATTATTATTATTATTATTATTATTATTATTATTATTATTATTATTATTATATAGTTTGTGGGTGACGAGGAGGAAACGACAGGTCCTCTTTACAGTTCAGATGGCCATCTTCATATGCAAAGCTTTCTTCCATAATTCGTTAATACACTAGCCAATGAGAGCAGAGGAGGAAATCACATGTATATCCTGAATTTCCCCCCCCCCTCAATTTAGCACCTTATAGATAGGTTGGATGACAGTTTCCATAATTCCCAGCCAATCTGACCAACATTAGCACAGTGGAAATGTCAGGTTCTCTCTCCTGTATTTTACAGGTGTAGTCAATACTTAATTGGGACTGGTAGATAAATTAATTTTGGCATTCTATTCATTTGCCAGGATAATTAGGGTATTGAAGAGTGATCAATAGTCTAAGTCTGAAAGTCACTCAGTAAAATATCTTTTTTTTTTCATTGTACTTTGATTTTTTCCCCATTTGACATTTGTCTAAGCTAAAAAGCTTCAAAGAAATTGATTATACATTCACCACACATATAGATATGGATATGGATACGGATACGGATACACATACACATACACATACACATACACATATTATTCCAAATAACAATATTATTTAAAAAAAGAAAGGGAAATAAATAATTATATTTCTATACTGTCAAATAATGAGGGGTGGGTGTTTTTTTTTTTTTTTCCTATCAGGGGCCTCCTGGTCTTCCAGGTGTTGCAGGACCACCAGGAGAGCCTGGCCAGAAGGTAACTCCATTATTATTTCTTAACAGTCAGCGAAGATAAAGTCCTTTCCATCTCCTTCATTAAAATTAAATGAATATGATGAAAATTAAAAAGAAGCAGAGGAAGATACTGTTCTTCTCTGTCAGTACAAAAGGTGGATAATCATAACCTGGAGATGGATCCCCCTGTAAAATGCACTACAATGAAAACTCTATGAGAGCTTTTGTGGTGCAAATGGAATTGTCAACTTGCTAATAGGAGATTTCCCAATGCAGCAGATGTTTCTTTTTCGTCCTGCTGACCACCCATCTTCTTTTAATTTATTATTTATTTGTATGATTTATATAGCTGTCTATCTCACAGAAATCTGTGGATATCCTAAAAGATTAGACTGGATGATTGCAGTACACAACAGGGAAAGAAGAAGGGGATAAAATGTGTGTGCCTCATTTTCCTATCCAGCACAAATTTAGGTTACAGCTGACACAATTATATCCTGTTAACAATACAAATTCAAAAACAACTTAGAGACCCAAAGAACAAGCGTTATTTTCACTCTTGGAATCTGACAAATTTAGGTTATAATTCAACTTTTAGTGCTAATTGATCCACAATTTTTTGAATGGAATTATTCCCTCGTTATTTGCCAAGTTTCAAGTAACATATTTTTTTAAAGTATTTGTTCTGTCTTCGCATCTCTTCTGCAAAGTTCTAAGATTCATAAAAAGAAAATGAAAAAATATCCTTCACTTTTTCCCCTCAGGGTGAAATTGGTTTGCCAGGTCCCTCAGGACATAATGGAGAAAAGGTAAGGAGCTAGACATGAGAAATGGCTACTATATGACTGAATACAACATTACATTCTCAAAAAAGTGTCTCTGCTCTCTGAAGCTGGAGCTGATGCACAAAGGCATTTTTGAGTTTGTATAAATGAAAAATACTGTCTACACAGAATACAGAATAACAATTGGAAGAGACCTTTGTTATGTGGTTTACATAAAGAAATGCATTGGTGCTGTAAATTCTAAGGGCAAAAAATGGTTTGTAAATCTCAGATTAAACAATATAATCCAACCCTGCCAGCTGGAGTCAGGTGCAACATGTGATGTCATGAGTTTAAAAGACAAAATGAAACTGGCCCCTGAGATATCTCTTCACCCTAGTCCAGAGGTCCCCAACCTTTTGAGCACTAGGGATTGGTTACATGGAGAGAGGTTTTTCCGTGGACTGGAGGGGGTATGGTTTTGTTTGCTGCCTGCATCCCACAGATGGGGCTTTGCTTGTTTGTGTGGCCTGGTTGCTGGCATGCCCGGCCTGGTACTGGTCCATGGACTGGGGGTTGGGGACCCCTGCTTTAGTTGCAACAAACTGAAGTTATATTCAGGGGAACTAATGGAATCATTGAGACTTTTCCAAACAGAATGCAGCGTATGTGGAGGTATCCACAAACTTGAATTTGAGATTGTGGAAGCCAATCAGAAACTGCTATTGTTTGGATCAACATTTGAGCGTCTGGGTTTGATGCAGTTCACAATTCCGGCCAAGCTATATAATGTTAAGATTCACCCCTCAAAATCCTTGGCGAGGCCACTGACAAAACAGCAAATCCTCCAAGTCTACAGTGAGGTGTTTGAGGGCCCCATAGTGACAGATAGGACTAAAAAACACTTGACGTTTCTTTTGTTATCAAATCTTCAAAGATGTTGCTACAAATAGAAAGGTCATGTGTTTTCCTGGCTTGGATGGGAAGAAAAAAGAAGCAGAGGAATCTATCAGTCAGGAATTGACTCCAGTTCAGACAGAGCTCCTGGCCATCACTGTGTTAAACTAGAGACTGTTAAAAACACATCAAGAAATTAACTTTTTCACAGAGGACTCCGTGTGCCTCAATAAAATCATAAAATCATATGATCCTCTGATTCTAAAGAGGAACAAAAGTACATAGGGGGTAGTATGCAATAACTATGCTCATATACAAATATTCCCATTTGAAAGAAACAAGCAATTAGAGTTTCTCATTGCATAATTCCACCTTAAATCTTTCTTCCACTGTAGGGTCTTGATGGCCTAAATGGAGTTAAAGGTGACCAAGGGATGCCTGGACCTCCTGGTCTCATCGGCCCAAGTGGACGTCCAGGTTTTACAGTAAGCACACCAAATGATTTTTCTCAAAAAAGTTGCCATTGCCATCAAGAAAGTCAACTAGTATAAATTATTTAGGAGATAAAAGCAATACGCCTTGAGCAAAGCAATATGCCTTGAACTTTCTTCCTCAGCTGAAGTTCTGATAGCCAATTAAGGCCACTCAGCATATTTACAAGTGGATTCTTTTGACTCAAGATCTGTCAAGACCAAAGACTCCAAAGACCCATTCCTCTACATAGCTTCATTCTTGACCAAGAGACTTCTTATGACTGTCAGCTTTGCAAGTTATGAGCAACAACTGCAAAACAGTCATTGAGAAGGAACAAAAAATAGACAAGGGGCATGCAAGCATATCCCTGAGGTCAAATATATATTGTCTCTAATTATACTAAAAATACGAATCCCAGGTACATTCATGTTGAGAGAAATGGGCGAACAATAGGATAAATAAAAAACAACTGTTTAATAAACTTAGCTTTTGTCGGCTAACTGCCAACGTCATCAGAATGGAATGCTGGAGGTTCAAAAGCCCGCTTATAAGGCCAGCTCTTTTTGCGCTCTGCTCATAGACCATGTTACCGGTCTACCCGCCCAGTTGATCGTATTGCTTCTAATTGTCTCGCGTCTGTCTGTATATTCATAAGTTCAGGGATCATCGCCTCTCTTGTTGTCATTCTCTTTGCCTGCTTTGGACGTGTCTGGATACACGTTGCTGCAGGATAGTCCCTCAGTGCTTCCTGTCCTATGGCTACCCCCCCCCTTTGTGTATGTGGCACCCTGCCTCCCATCATTGGTTCCTGCACAGATCGTGCCGAGGATTTCTCCCCTTCACCAGTCATAATTCTTTGCTGTTGCATGAGCCCGCGGTTCTGATCTTGCATAGGTTGCGCGCGTTGCACCCGCTATGAGTTGTTGCTCTGTTGTTCCCACTTCCTTAAGTGCCTGATAAGCTGGCACTAGTTCTATGTGGTGATTAATTGAGTGCTCATCTGACAGCCAAGCCTCCTTCAGTAACCAACTGCCCTTGGTGACATCCTGGGTGATGGCCTCTGCCCTGGCAAGGTCGAGTGTGTGATTTTTGCTGGCCATATGGACCCACACTTTGAGCATTGCTCATGTCATCTAATGGCCAGCTCGTGTTTGTGGATCCTAGTTCTAAGCCGTTTGGTCGTCTCCCCAATGTAATTACAGTGACAGTCCTTGCATTTCACTCTTATATCACCGAAGATCTTTCTTCATTGGGAAGTGGTTCCTTGGGGTGCATTATTTTGGCACATAGGGTTTGATTCGGTTTGTAGGCAATACTGATATTGTACAGAGCCAATATCCGTGCCGTTGCCTCTGACACTCCATTGACATACAGTAGTATTGTCAATGCCATAGGGGTGCCTGTGTGTTACATTCTGCGAGGCTCATGCAGTCCGCTGTACCATCTGATGAAATCAGCTGGGTAGCCGTTTCACCTGTAGACCCGGTATAGATGACTTCTCTCCTCCACCTTTGTCCTATCCATGTTGCAGTGGATGTTCACACACCTAAACAGTGTTTTGATACAGCCAATTTTGTGCAACATGGGATAATTGCTCCTATAATGTAAAATTCTGTCTGAATGAGTTGGTTTTCGGTGGACGGTCGTGTGGAGAGTGCCGTTTGGCTGATGGCTGACTAGGACATCCAAAAATGCAAGTGTGCTGTTAGTCTCTTCCTCCACTGTGAAGCATTTGTCATTTGTCATTTGTCAATAAGGGCAGGTTTCCAAATGGCTGGTAGGTATCATCTCGTTTGTTCATGCTGTGTGGGCATTTTTCTATCTCGATGGCTTCTCTGATTATTCTGTTATTAAAATGTTCAGTTTTGGCGATAGTTCTGGTATTTTTAAAGTCAATTTCATGTCCTGTGGCTTTAAGGTGTTGGACCAGGGAAGATGTTGGTTCCTCTTTTTTGACTGAGTTCTTATGTTCTTCAATGTGCACTTATTCTTCTGTTGGTTTGTCCGATGTATGTGTTGGGACAAGCGGTGCATGGGATTTCATTTCAAATAGCAAGGCAGCCCACCATCTTAAACTCCCCTGCAACTCAGACTAACCTGAGCACAACAAAGCTCCCACCCAAATAGAACACTCCCCCATCCAATCAGAGCACAGCCAAACCCCTAACCAATCAGAACACACCTCCACCCAATCAGAACACACCTCCACCCAATCAGAACACAGCCAAGCTCCCACCCAATCAGTTCATACCCCCACTGGCAATTAAAAGGAAGAAACAGCTAAGACCACACATTGCTGCTCGAGGCACGAAGCTGAAAGCACCAGCCTGAAGATGACGAATGGGACTTCGTCGAAACGTCGCCAAGACACTTCCAATTTTACGTGGGAAAAAACCCGAACAACCAAAGACCTACATACAAATACCCGCGAAAACCTCAGAAAATATATATATATATATATATATATATATATATATATATATATATATATATATATATATATATATAATGCATGTCCCAGGTATATTCATGATAAAAACTACTAAAAACGTGATCACTGAGACTAAAAACTTTATTAAACACTTAGCTTTCGTCAGCAACTGCTGACGCTGTCTAAGTATAACCCAGGATCTAGAAATGCTCTATAAAGACGAGCATTCCTAGATCCTGGTGATCACATTTTTGGTAGTTTTTATCATATTCATATGAGGTTTTCGCGGGTATTTGTATGTAGGTCTTTGGTTGTTCGGGTTTTCTCCCGCGTAAAATTGGAAGTGTCTTGGCGACGTTTCGACGAAGTCCCATTCGTCATCTTCAGGCTGGTGTTTTCAGCTTCGTGCTTCGAGGAGCAATGTGTGGTCTTAGCTGTTTTTTCCTTTTAACTGCCAGTGTAGGTATGAATTGATTGGGTGGGAGTTTGGCTGTGTTCTGATTGGGTGGAGGTGTGTTCTGATTGGTTAGGGGTTTAGCTGTGCTCTGATTGGATGGGGGAGTGTTCTATTTGGGTGGGAGCTTTGTTGTGCTCAGGTTAGTCTGAGTTGCAGGGGAGTTTAAGATGGTGGGCTGCCTTGCTATTTGAAATGAAATCCCATGCACCGCTTGTCCCAACACATACATCGGACAAACCAACAGAAGAATAAGTGCACATTGAAGAACATAAGAACTCAGTCAAAAAAGAGGAACCAACATCTTCCCTGGTCCAACACCTTAAAGCCACAGGACATGAAATTGACTTTAAAAATACCAGAACTATCGCCAAAACTGAACATTTTAATAACAGAATAATCAGAGAAGCCATCAAGATAGAAAAATGCCCACACAGCATGAACAAACGAGATGATACCTACCAGCCATTTGGAAACCTGCCCTTATTGACAAATGACTCCCTAACACAAAGAATGACACCAGACCCACACTCACTAAAACCACACAGGATGTCACCACCACACATCCATGCAAAAAGCAAACCCAAAGCCACACCGATGATGAGGCACGACCACAAACCAGAAGCCAGACCACAGCTGCATCATTAGCCACTTTAAACCCCTCCAATCCATACATGAAGCAAACTGACACCCACCATGAAGATGAGGCATGACCACGAATGCGAAGCCAAAAAATAGCAACGCAGCCCACCATCTTAAACTCCCCTGCAACTCAGACTAACCTGAGCACAACAAAGCCCCCACCCAAACAGAACACTCCCCCATCCAATCAGAGCACAGCCAACCCCCCATCCAATCAGAGCACAGCCAAACCCCTAACCAATCAGAACACACCTCCACCCAATCAGTTCATACCTCCACTGGCAGTTAAAAGGAAGAAACAGTTAAGACCACACATTGCTCCTCGAAGCATGAAGCTGAAAACACCAGCCTGAAGATGACGAATGGGACTTCGTCGAAACGTCGCCAAGACACTTCCAATTTTATGCGGGAGAAAACTCGAATAACCAAAGACCTACATACAAACACCCGCGAAAACCTCAGAAAACACACACACACACACACACACACACATACACACATACACACACACACACACACACACACACACGTGTGTGGTTTTTTTTCCCTTTTTGAGGGTCTGCATCAAAAGATCCTTAAGCTGTTTAAAGACATTGCATAAATTAGAATGCTAGTTAATTATAGTAACCAGTGAAGCATTTAATGGTATTCTAGAAATATCCCAGTGATTGCATGTTTATTTACGTCTTCCTGATATCTTTGTCTGAACTTTTAGCCATCTTGAAATTTCACTATTATAAAAACTTGGCATGGATGCTCTTTTTTATTACAATATTGTTGTATTTACAGGGAGAGAAGGGAGAACCTGGAGAAAAAGGAGATACTGGGGCTTCAGTAAGTGATCCAACCACATTGTTTTAAAACATTAGACAAACTCCTCCTTTCTCTAACTATAGCTCATTTTTCTACATCCCTTCTTCCCAAGTACTACTTTCAAAATGATAGATTTAATTTCTACATAATAATTTTTGAGGAAGGGTCAGGTTATTGCTTTTATTTACTGAGCATGAAAGTGAATTATTATGACAATGACATTTGCTTTTCTATTTGGCTTTTAGGTAACTGGTCCACCAGGGCCTCAAGGTCCCCCTGGAAACCCAGTAAGTCTTTTCTACAATGTGAACTATAAATATTTTTTCCTTTTCTAAAGTATTTCCTAATACCATCTCTTTATTGTGGCAAAATCCTCCACCAAATACATTGACCTAAACCACAGGTCTTCAAACTTGGCCCTTTTATGACTTGTGGACTTCAACTTCCAGAATTCCTCAGCCAGTGTACCTGGCTCAGGAATTCTGGGAATTGAAGTCCACAAGTCATAAAAGGGCCAAGTTTGAAGACCCTTGACTTAAACCAAATCTGGCTTTTGAAGGAGCAATAATTGGTAATTAGCTGTGGTGATACTGTGGTTAGAATCCAGTATTGCAGGCTAACTCTGCCCACTGCCAGGAGTTCGATTTTGACCACTCAAGGTTGACTCAGCCTTCTATTCTTTCAAGATTGGTAAAATGAGGACCTGGATTGTTGGGGGCAATATGCTGACTCTGTAAACCACTTAGAGAGGTCTGTAAAGCACTGTGAAGTAGTATATAAGTCTAAGTGCTATTGCTATTGCTAATCACTATAAGTACAATTGTCTCAAGTTGGTCTGTCCATTGTATCTTTTAACAAGGAGAATAACCAGATCTTCAATATCTTCCTGAATGTTATCATAGTGGGAGCCATCTGGATCTCAGGGTTATCATTCTAGAAAACAGGAACCATGATAGAGAAATCACATTTTCTTGGTCCTGCTTAATCACTAGGACCTAAAGTGAACTTCCTTTTCCTGATTGCAGCAGAGAAGCAGAAGTAACCAGAGAATCATGTTCCCTCAAGTAGCAAGGCCCTATGTCCTGAGGGCATTTATAGATGATAACTAGAAACTTGAATTGCATTCAGAAACTAACTGGTAGCCAATGCAACCAACAGAGCTGGGGGGCACATGGACATAATGAGGCCATGCTGATCATTGCTTACACCACTACAAGATCAAGAAGCATTAGTGGGAGTCTGGTTTATGAGCATGGAGAATATTCAAAAAAAAGAGGGGCAGTGACCAAAATGTTTAGCTCCACAAATTTCTAGAGTACACATTGGATATAGTGGAATGTAGCCCACAAGTTATATCTAATAGTTATGTAGATAAGTGCTTTAGGCTAGGAAGAATTTTACCTGTAGGTGAGCAACGATAAAGAAACTTCTCTGAAGTAACTTCTTATGTCATTCTTGATTCCTTGGGTCCTATGGGAATTACAGAATTATAGAAATCATAATGAACATTCCCTGTTTTATTGGATATATTTAGATGCTTTTAAGTGATTTGTCAAGAGGGTCAATCGACAAAAGCACTGCATACAGTATATTATTATTGGAACCATACAGTTAGTTTCCATAAAGAATGAGTATGCAAGCAAACGTAATGCAGATATTTCTTCCACATTGTGACTCAAAATGTTAGTTAGCCAGTACAGGAAGTCCTTGGTACTGAATATGTAGTACTGGCCCTTGTAGTAATAGCCACCACAGTGCCCCTGCAGCCACACAATCATGATCTGGGGGCTTGGGAACCAGCCCACATCTCTGACCATTGCGGTATCCTGTGTTCACCTAATTGTAATTTGCAATCTTCTCTGCTAGTTTCCCACAAGCAAAATTAATGGGGAAGCCAACAGGAAATTGGAGGTCACAGTCATATTAAGTTTTTGCTTAATGACCCACACAGTCCTCACTTAATGGCAATTAGGACTATGAGAATTGTCACTCCTGAGAGGCATGGTCATGTGACATCATACTCAACACCATATAGTGATGGATTTTCTGGCCCCAATTATTGTTATTAAATGAGGACTACCTGTAGAACAGAGGTTCTAAGGCTGTGAGTAATTTGGGCATATCCTCAGGGTAATGGAATGATTTATAATTGCTTGTTTGTGAGTCAAAGATCCCATTTTGGACTGCCACTGACAAGACACTTATGTAAAGCAATTGAGTCTGGGGGTTTTGTGAAAATAATGCCATTATTTGGTAAGGGAAAGGGGTAATTGGGCCGAACAATTTAAGAATGACAATAGTAGAGAAAATCTGGGTGTCTTTGTACTGCTAGAATTTTAAGTTGAAAGAAAATTATATCAACTTTTTAAAAAAAAATTCCAACTATAGGGTCTTCAAGGCCTACCGGGACCTAAGGTAAGAAGAACAAATAATCAAATTGAACTCAAGTACGCATCTTAGATAAAATACTTTGTGTGCTGTTCTAAAAGAAAAATTATGGCTTTGCATATTTTGGAGCAGGAGTAAACAACCTGTGATTGATTAAAAGCATTTATCCCTATTTCTTGCCTAAAGTTTTTGAGGGTTGACATTCAACAGTGCCTACAGTGCTGTGGATTATCCATCCTTCATTTTTTCCCCAAATATTTGTTATATCTCTGAAAAGCATGTGTAACAATGTAAAACAGCTAAACCCTTTTAGCTCTATTATGTGTCAATCCCCGATATTAGCATAATAGGAGGAGGAGGTCATTTTGTAGAGTCCTATTTTTCGTAATCTTCATCTGCTGGAACATGGGAAATTACATTCCAATAAAGGGCCCTTTTTAATTCCTAAAACTTCAATTTCTCCAAGATACACATTTCAGATATATTTCCACTTTTTTGTTCTTTGAATGAACATTCATTCAGGAGAAAAAAATCTAATAGTTGCACAATGTCATTTGATTTCTAGTGCTAGAATCCAAAAACAACCTAGAGTTTGAGAACTATGAAATAGGCTGATCTGACTAACGTCTAGCCTGTTTTATACTAAGAATGTTGACCTGCATCATCACTTGTTTTTCTACGTGCATTCACATTCATTGTGTTATCCCCCTTCCAAGTATGCATCATTATGGAAAATATTGAAAAAGAATAGGAAAATATAAGAGGTATGTAAAGACATGAAAAAAGGAAACAAATTAAATGAAAATCTAGTCAGTGTTTCTCAAACTTGGCAAATAAGCTGCATGGACCTCAAGTCCCAGAATTCCCCAGCCTAACTGGCTGGGGAATTCTGGGAGTTGAAGTCCATGCAACTTAAATTTGCCAAGGTTGAGAAACGCTGATCTAGTTTATATCAAGAGCATTTGCTCTCAATGCCTTTCTATTGTGCAGATCATCAGATTTGGACCCTATCTGTATTCCCTTCATATGCCAGCTTTTGTTCTTTTTTTTTTTAAATATATTTTATTAGTTTTATAGTTTTAACAAAAAGTGTTTGAGACACATCGTGGTGTTTGGATAAACACAGATTCCAACATAAAATCACACAATAACAGCGCAACTTAATACATTTGTTATAATCTCTCTATTTCCCTCAAGTAGCATAATAAATTTAATATATTTCCTTTCTATCCTAAATTTCTATTACTACTAAATCTGTTTATTAAAACTTTATCAATTTCAATTACCATAATCAAATAATATTTTGCATCAACATATTACCCCTTCAAATATCTCTTGCAAATATATTCAAGTTCTTAATCTCTCTCATCCCTTTTTTATCACCAATCTTATTTATTTCTTCTTCCAATAATAACTAATTTAGTTTAAAAAAGACAATATTATCATATCATATCAAATTGTATTATTATACACAAATATCTCTTAATTAATTAAACATTACACATATATATAGTTATAATTTTCTTACTTCTAAATCTAAATCATTTGACTTAATTCATTTCCATTCATTAAACAAACCAAATTTCATCCAATTAATTACCATAATGAAACATATTATTATACACAAAAATCTCCTAATTAATTAAACATTTCAAAATTCCAGTCTAAATCAATCTATTACTCCAAGAGATGCATTCTTAGTCTCTGTAAAGCCAAGTTTCTTTTTTCATTCCACATTTAACTTTCATATTTCCATACCAAACAAACCGCCATAAAGCAAAAAAGACATCAAACTAAATTAAACACACATGAATATAATTGTAGATTTCTTACTTCTAAGTCTAAATCATTATCCTTAAAACAATCCATAGAACCAATATTGCCTTTTAATCCATTCAACAATTTTTACTAATTTAAACACGCATGTGTATAATTGCATTTTTCAGCTCTAAATCATTATCCTTAAAGCAATCCATGAAATCAACATTGTCTTTTGCTCCATTAAACATTTTTAAATTTGTTTTTGAGTCTGATTCTGAGTTTCTTTCTATGCCACATTGGCTTCCATGAAGATGCTTCCCTTTCAACCAGTAAATCCATTCTCGATGCTTGTAGTAATCTTTGAGCAAAGATTACTCTGTAGTAAGCATCTTTTTTCTCCTTTAACCAATAAATCAATTCCTATTGCTTGTAATAACCTTTGAGAGAGTATAAATCTCTTCCTCTGCAGTAAACGTCTTTTTCTGTTCTCTTTGCGATGTAGTTGCTTTGTATTTTGAAGTCTTAGTCTTTGCTTCTTCTGGTTCTCTAAGTTGCTGGAGAAGGGATTGTCAGATGAAATAAATTCCTCTTTTATCTCTGTAAATTCCTCTTCTGGCACATTTTGATTTATGCCGTAATCAATTGTAACCTGGACATCAATTTGGGCAAATATAGTAGAGTCTCTGGATCTTAATTCTGAAGTACAGTTTTTAAATGTAGCACAAATTTCTGCAGTGGCCTCATAAATCTTTTCCAATATAAGTGCACAATTCAGTTGTATCTGAGGTTTCTCCATTTTAATACTAATGCTTAAAAAGAGATCTCTTTTTCTTTTTTGTAGAGGCTTTGTTTAATGTAGAAACATCCACCCCCACAGCTTCTCAGGTGCACAGTTTATCTTTAGTGTTTTAAAGTTCATAAGAAGAAATAAGCAGGGTTGCAGTATTAAATTTTTGCCACTAGATGTCCTCAGTAAGTTAAGAAAGTCCTTTTCAAAAATCAGTGTTTTTTTTCCCTGTCTTTTAAGGTAATGTATATATATAAAAAAGTAGAAATAGTAAATTTCTTAAAAAGAAAGGAGAGAGAAGCCTTTTCCTTTTTTTTTCCTTTTTAGTGTCTCAATAAAAATAGATTATAGCCTTTCAGTATTTGTGAAATGCCTTTCTTCCCATAAAAAAGCAGAAGCCACCTTTCCAAGCCAGGGAAATAATTTCAAACCAGCTTTTGTTCTTTAAACTTCTGTGGGTTTTTTTTTTGAGGGTTTCACTGACTCATGATTGTTTCAATCACCTCTTCTTTTTGACCCATTTATTCTTCTCACTATATAAACAAACCATCTTCTCCTTTTATAGTAAGTCCATGTTCGCTCAACATCCATTCATTTTTTACATTCTGTCTTCTGATTTTACCACAGAAGCATCTTAAGTATTCTGTTCCTACTACATTCAATATTTATATTTCCTCTGACAGATCCAACTCTCACCTCCATATGTAAAATTGGCAGAAACACAATAATTTCTATTTCTCTTTTCGTGTTCATTTCTTTTCACAAATGTTTATTGCTCACAGTGAATGATATACTCTCCTCCACCTTTAAATTAGCATTTATATTTCCTCAAATTTCTCTAGCTTTTCTTATCTCCGATCAACTTCCTATCAAGGTAAATAAATTAATGGGTTTGCTCTAGCTTTTTTCCATGTATAGATCATGTCCTGTCCTTCATTCCATTTCTCTTTCCAAACAGAAATATGTAGGGCTGTACAGACTCATCAATGCATCATACAATCTGTGCAATATTCACTGTAATTCATGTTGGCACTGTCAACATATGTAAGTAGATATACAGCCACAATTAATACATTCCTATCACTTCTAAGATCAAAATACCACAAACATACATCTATAAACACATTTTAAAAGCAAGGGGAAATCACCCATCCTTATCTTCCTACCTGCTAATGTTGAACCATTTAGTAAGCAGTCCATTTATTGTCATGAACAATTTATTGCAATCATAGACTATTCTTTACTTATTCAGTAATCAACAATCAGATCCATACATGCCAGATTCCATAATTCAGAATTACTTCTCCGAGCAGTCTTTATATGAACAGATACACAATAAGCATATCCCAATGTGATGCATTGTTAACTTTTATACTTTTTTTAATAAGATTTCAGCCAAACTCTTTCCTGGTCAATAAACAAATATTTCTGTACCTTTTGCATTCACTTTTGCTGCTTTTGTTTCTATCTAAAGGAGCAATATTAGCATTTTTCCCACCTAAAGGCACAGAGGCAACCTTCAGACCTACTTTATTTAAATTACAAATCCATTAAATAAACAAATGGCATCCCTATTTTAATCTAACTGCAAATATTCTGTCCACATCTACCTGCATTCTTACAATTTTTAATGTTCTCCTACCATTTGTTATTTAGTTTTTTTTCTTGCACATTTGCCTTTACAGCATTCATTTCAATTCTGCTGACATCACTATAGTTCCTGTACAAATCTCTGAAATTCTTCATCCTGTCTTTCCCTGTCTTCACTTCCATCCCAAATTGTTTTATTACTTTTCTTTTTCATTCCACTTGTTTTCCTGGAGGTTCCTTCTTCATTGCTCTTCAGCCCTTTCAAGCAATTTCTTTTTAATCCCATTAAAATGAGGCTGCATCTCCTCTTACTCGTAATCCTATTTGTTCTTTGTTCTCTCTGTCTACTTTCTTTGCAACTTTCTTTTTTCAGTATACTGTACACATGATAGAGCACAGGTAGTCCTTGAGTTACAACCTTTTGTTTAGTGACTGATTAAAGTTACAACGGCATTGAAAACAGTGACTTATGACCATTTTTCTCACTTACAACATTGCACTATCCCTGTGGTCCTCTGATCAAAATTCAGACGCTTGGCAACCGGCATGTATCTATGATGGTTGCTGTGCCCTGGTGTCCTCTGATCCCCTTTTACAACCTTCTGACAGGCAAAGACAATGAGGAGTGCAGATTCACTTAACAACCATGTTACTAACTGCAGTCATTCACTTAAGAACTGTGGCAAGAAAAATCATAAAATGGGGCAAAGTCACTTAAAACTGTCTTGCTTAGCAATGGAAATTTTGGGCTTAGTTTTTGGTCGTAAGCTGAAGACTACCCGTATCTTTCTTTATTTCTCATTCTTCCTTTTTTTTTTTTTTTGTAGCAATCATTCTTTTGTGCACCTTTTTTCTCATCCACTATCTTTTCACATGAATGTCCCACAAAACATTCTTGTCCAGGTGTCCCAAGAGCGTCACTCCACTCTCTGCATTTCAAACAGGTTCTACATTTTCCTTTATGTCAGGGGTGGGAAACAACGGCCCCTTTCTCCCAGAATTCCTGAGCCAGCATAGCTGGGTCAAGAATTCTGAGAGTTGAAGTCCACAGGTCATAAAGGAGCTGTCGTTCCCCCTCCCTGCTTTATGTTCCTTTTCCATTCATTTTCTTGGGAAATTCAATTACTTTTTCATACAGGAGTTGAAAATTCTCTTTTTCCAGTCCTCAGCAAAGTTAGCAAAATATCATCTCATCATTGCTATATAAATGCTTTTTGGGTGTCACCAAGTGTTTTTCTCTCCAATTAACTCCTGTTTAGAAACTTACTGGAGAAGAATTAGCTTTCTTCTGATATATTTTTCTTTTAGGGAGAAGCAGGAATTGATGGAATAAAAGGTGAAAATGGTATCCAAGGAGAAAAAGGAGATCGAGGTCCTTTGGGGCTGCCCGTAAGTATCTAGAAAGAAAAGGAAACTATAGCAAGACATGACAATGAATACAATTACTCAGGAAAGAGAATACTTCAGATATCACCCCCAAAAAATCAGAGGAAATTCCTCCAGAAAATTATCGCTTGGATAATGTGGACATCAAGAAAAGTGCTTCAGGGGATTTTAACATTATTTTATTCCTAATCATGTAAAAGGCTTTCATGTGCAAGTTCAGACTCTGAGATATGAAATAACTCACAGAATTTATTTATTGACAAAAATGGGAGAGGAGGGGAAGACCTGCAACAAGGTACAGGAACTATCTGGTATAGTTTTCTTCATGAATTCAGGAATGGATATTTAGGTTGGGTTTCTTATTTAAGTAAGAAAAATCTTATCCAAGAATATTCCATTTCCTGTATCTGACATATGGATTAATTCACAACTGCATTCAGCTCATTTTTCCCAACACACAACTTTTTATACTTTGCTCACAACAAAGAGGCTTTCTCTGGATTCTCTTGCAAGCCCAGATGGTAGTGGTTTGCTGCGGGTAGTCCTCAGTTACCAACGACAATTGGGACTGGAATTCCTGTCTCTAAGTGATGCAGTTGAAAAGCACAATGTCATGTGACCACATTGCTCAGCAGTAGCAGTTCTAACATTTCCTGCTTGTCATCTATAAGCAAATCCTACATGGCCATTAAGCAAGGGCATCACATGGTCATCCTTTGAGACTTCCTGCTGGCTTCCCCACTGACTTTGCTTGTAGGAAGCTGGAATAGAAGGTTGCAAATGGTGTCCAAGTGATTTTAGGAAACTGTGACATCATAATTGCAAGCCAGGCACCAAGCACCCAGATCAAAATCACATGATCACTTGGGGTGCTGCAGCAACTGAACCTTCACGGACCTGTCATAAGTATCACTTATTCAGCGCTATTGCAAGTTTGAACGGGTGATGAATGAGTGATGGTTAAGTGAGGACAACTTGTATCGGTGAACTCAACCACTGCATGTTGGTGGCTGCTGTAGATAACATTGTAACAGGCAGTTAGAGCTGCAATATCCACTTTTTTTTTTTAACCGTCATGAGGCCACATCATTAAGAGGTAGTAGGGAAGAACAAATAGTAGGTAGATACTGAACAATTTTCTTATTGAGATTGTTGCTTTGTAGCAGTAGAAACTTGAAAACTGGAGAAATTTGAAAATCAGCAGCACTAGTATTAGTCTCTCTGACAAAGCTGTTATTTTCACACTTCTGAAGGCATGGGAATGCCTCTTCCTTGCCTCTCAGTAGCAATGCTAACATATTTTTGAAGAAGGAAAGTTGAGAGCAGAATAACAGAATAACAAAGTTGGAAGGGACCTTGGAGATCTTCTAGTCAAGCCCCTGCTCAAGCAGGAAACCAATGAGCTAGAAAGAATTAGAGAATTAGAATTAGATGAATGAGAATACTAAACCTGAATGGATTGCAAAACAAATCTAGAGGTGGAAATACAAACATTATTGTTTTACCAAGAAACGAGGCACTAAAAAATTGGACAAGGGAACACTCTTTTCAGCATATGTTTTCCTACATGCACACTTGTATGTATGTAGGCACCTTGCTCTTAATGCGTATTTATTTTAAGGACCAGTTCAGTTCAGATTATAATATTAGAATTTCTATGTTCTGGTCTTGACCCAGTCTACCTGTACTCCTAAGTGGGAATTTGTAGCACAAATATTTATTCCTCTGGTTCAATTAAATTCAAAATGAAAGCTTGATGTGATACCAAATCAGATGTAGATTAGTATTAGCTGTTTTATGGAACGTTGTTTCCCACTTGTTAGGTGTCTCTTACTGGTGGAACTGATGTATTTTTCTGGAAATCTTAATGTGCTAAGCTGTGTATTTTATGTTGGGAAAAACTATTGTTCTTCTTTGATTGAAGGCAATTGATAATGGAAACAAAAAGACTTTTGGTGGCTTGGAACCCAAATGTTAATAATTTTCCTTGGGGAAAAGGAAAGTCATGTTTAATGAAGATGAGGAGAAATCATATCCATAGTATTAAAACTTTTGCTGAATTCTTGCACCATTCAGAGGAAGGGGAAAGGAAAAGCCTTCCTTTTTGCTAGCAATGACAATTTTCTGAATGGGACAATAATTGGTCCAGCATTAGCTTTTCTTCCTTTTCATTCTTAAAAATAGAAATATCAGTAACTATTGGACAATTTCAGGTCCCCTATTCCAGTATTGTATAGGGCTAGCTTACTTGGGCTCCAGAATTCCAGATGACCACTAGATGCTTCAAAGAGTTAGCAATTTATTTAATTATTTATTTTGCTTGTTTATTTATTTATACATTATTTATACAGCCACCCATCTTTCAGCCAATTGGGCAGCTCCTAATGATCATTTTATTATCCCAAAGCCTGAAGTTTTACAGCACAGATATAACAGGTCTAGAATTTCAATCTCAAGAAAAACAAAATTAATTATCTGTGAAAGGATAATTTATTCAGAAGTAAACATTGTAAACATAGTGACATACTCTCCTCTTTTATAACTTGGGAAAGCTTTGAAAGTAAGGAAAAGATTTGCTTTGCAGAACTTACAACCAAAAAAAAACAACTGAGGTAAAGGAAAATCACTGAAAATTGGGAAGTAAAGGTAAAGGATTTGACTCTGCAAGCTGTTGCCAACCATAGGGGGTGGTGCTCATCTCTGTTTCAAGGCCATTGAGTCAGCACAGTCTGAAGACATTTACACGGTCATGTGGCCAGCATAATGTCATGGAGTGCAATTACCTTTGACCGAAGTGGTACCTATTGATCTACTTGCATTTGCATGCTTTCAAAATGGTGATTGGCAGTAGCTGGGGCAAGGATGGGAGCTCACCCCGTCACTTGGCTCTTGGGTCTCAAACCTGGGCTGCCGGCTTTCCAGCCAAGAAGCCCAGCATCTTAACTGCTGAGCCACCGCACCGCCAGATAGACAGACAGATAGACAGACAGACCTTCTCACCCAAATTCTTTTCCCTTGTGGGTTATTAAACCAACGTGATAAAATTTGGTTTGAATTTTTCACTAAAATTCACATTGAAAATCTATGAAATTCGAACCAGAAGCAAACAAGTTTTAACAGCTTTATCTCAGAGATGCCTTCTCCCTTTTTTCTCCCAACATTCTAAAAATCTGCAGTGTTGCCTTTGCGTATATTTTTCTCTCCAAGGACTTCTAAGAAAGCCACATGGCAACAGAATGTTGTTTTCACATGTCTGCCTATTGAAAAGAATCTGATAGCTTCATTCCAAACCCATTAAAAAGGCAGTGTACAATAAATAAATCTTATAAAAACAATAATAGATTAAAAACAGAAGTATTCAAAAACTCAAGCTAAGGAAAAAAATCTAGAAACAGGTAGATTGAAAATGTACTATGTTATTGTAGAAAAATCTATAAAAGGGGAAACAGCACAAAAAAGCATCTCATCTGAAGACCAATGGGGAAGAGAGATGGTTACAGCAAATGACATAAAGAGCTTTACATAAGAATTATGCACACACACACACACACACACACACACACACACACACACACGAACACATATACCCTGAAAATGGATGCATGGCAGTGTATACTAAAAGCATCCTATTTTTTGTAATCTGGGATTATTTTGCTCCTTCTAACACTCACCTGCTATCAATTAAGGTTGATTACTGTTGGTAAATCTAACATTAAAGTATTTCTTAAGGCATTTGGCCCCAGAGATAGTACTTCAACTTTGTCCTACTTTTCAGGCCTGAGATCAGGTCAATTTCACTTCTCCTAGCAACTAGTGATGCTTGGATGACTTAATAATGTCTCCAGGAAGAACAATGTCATTTGAGATTTTTGATTCACAACAACAACTAGTGCATACTGAACGATTAACCAGTCCTTTTGATCCTTCTATGCAAAAGCTAATGTTCAAGCTAATGTATGTATCATTTCGTAGAATAGCGTGCTTCCCTGGCTGCAGATATTTGGAATGAAAAAAAGGCCTTTATTCAAAAGTCGCTTTCCTAAGTTAAGTCCCAGTAGTTTTAGTACCACTTTTCCTATGGAAAACTTAGGGATCTGTGGATAAATGTCAACTGAAATATTATTGAAAATAACTTTTATTTCTTAAGAAGTTCAGTTTGAAAGCTGTCTTAAATTTTCTAATTTTTATTAATTTCCCAAATCTCTGAATGTAAGAATATATTTGTACTGCATCCTCAATTTGGGTTTTATTATTCTTAGACTTTATACTTCAGTTTTATAAGAAATTAGATTCCTAATGTTGACCTAACTTACCTATGATTATAGCCCATAAATCTAGTGATTAAATTACATTATCCAGGTATTTTTACTTTGAAGCTTAATAGCCACTTTTAATCTCTCCTTTAAAAAATGATGTATGCCATAAATTTATAAGTAACTAAGGATATTAAAATAATACTATAACCTCCATGACACTTCAGATCTACTGTTAGTTAGTTGCATTCTATAATCACGTTTTACTCTTTGATTCTTTCATGTTTCATATTTTTTTTTTTTTGTTTTCAAACATGCTTTTAAAAAGCAGAGTTGCACTGCCCAGTAATAGGAAGCACACTGAACTGTGTTGCCCGTCACAATTTTCAATTGGACTCAGTTTAATGCATCTGAATGAAAGTGGCCCATTATGAGATATTATTTGGTATTTAGATATATCTGAAGTTATAAAGATTTCCAACACACACAAAAAGGCAACACCAAAAATTGCCTCCCGAAATTTTAACCTCTAGTCGCATTTTTTTCCGTCTTGTTTTTTGGTTTTATTTTCTAATTATGAAGGTAACTCTTTTATTCAATAATCAAACTAAGCTCATATAACATGTTCATCACTTTGGGGCCTGAGCTGCTTTCCAAAGCACTGCAGCACTTAATGGATCAAAGGTCACAATTTCAACTGGTGCCTGGAGAGAAGAAAACAACTGGTATTGTTCAAATCCAGAATTCATTAGTCTCTCCATCAAAATAGAACATACACCGGTAGTCCTCGTTTTATGACCACAATTGAACCTAACATTTCTGTTGCTAAGTGAGACAGTTGTTAAGAGTTTTGCCCTATTTTACGATCTTTCTTGCCACCATTGTTAAGTGAATCACTGCAGTTGTTAAGTTAGTAACACGAGTGTTAAGTAAATCTGGCTGACCCGTTGACTTTGCAAAGCTCATAAATATGAATCAGTGGCCAAGCCTCTGAATTTTGATCACATGACTCTGGGGATGCTGCAACAGTCGTAAGTGTAAAAAAAAATGGTGGTTGTAAATTGATGACTACCTGTACTAGTTTTCTATTACAGGTTTGCTATCAACCTGCATTGCCAATAAATATGATCAGAATCTTGGGCAAGTGATGGAGAAAGTAGTGACAAACAAGATTCCCTGTTTGCTAAATATTTTCCTTTCCATGTCCTAGTATTAAAGATATAAAGCCAAAACAGGTATAATACATTTATATCCCCCTTCTTCTGAGAGTAGGAAGCCCTTTAAGCATTCATACAATCACTAGATTGAATAGGAAATCCAAGGTCACGATGTCGGAACTCTGTCTGTGAATGGCACAAGAGTGGAGGCTTAAAAATATGCTCCAATTATTAGTGACATGGACACTTGTACTTTCAATGCAGACCAAGCAAGACAACTACTCGTAACCCTGCTTTTATTGTAAACCCTCTTCTGAAGCTGATAATACCAACAGTCCTATGCAGCTCGCTCTCCTCCCGAGAGAGGCACAATTACAATTTTATGCTCTTGAGTAGGGACTGCAGAGTGAATGTTTTAACCCTCTCACTTAAATTAACCACTAGAGTTTATGAATGGTTTATGAAGCCCATTGCAATCACTGTGGGATTCCTCTGAGCCTACACTCATCCATCCAAAACAAATACTTTCATTTTCTAAAAAAAATGTCCAAGAGAATTTACTTTGGAACACTTTTGGTCACCACAGGGATGTGTCTAGTTTTGCTCAAGGTGAGAAAGCAAAGTTTAGGGAATGTTTTGTTCCGTTGCCTGCTGAAGTATTTATCAAAGTCTGTACCCTCACAGTCCTGCTCAAGTTACCAGCTTACATTACATTCAGTGTCTGCTTTTTTTTTGTTGGTTTTGTTGTAAGTGCCATCACCTGTCCTTGAGAGCTAAGTTTTGTTTTATGGTTAGCACATGTTTGTCTCTGGTCACGGCTTCACTCACCTCTTGTTTCCCCTCCTCACCCCTTCCTTCTTGCCTTTTGTTTTGTTAACCCCTCCCTGTCTGTCCAGGGCGCTTCAGGTTTAGACGGCAGGCCTGGCCCACCGGTGAGTGTCATTTCTCCGATTCCCTACGTTCCTGTTCCCTGATGCTGTGATTTGTCTCCTCTGTCCTGCCATAATCATATTTGTATCACTGTCTTTCCAACAACAGAACAAAACTAGAATAGAAGAAGGGAAGTTACTGCATTTTGATGCTCAGTAATAGTATAGTACAGTTTCATATCCTAACATATTCACAAAGTTCCAAGGATTTGGGATAATTGGCCTCTTTATTTATCTGTGTAATTATATTGTGCAAAATATTTATGGTGATTCTCAGTCATCCAGGTCATGGCTGTCCCAAAGGTGCTTTTTCAAAAGGCAGCTGGACTTCCTTTGTTTTTCCTTGAAGACATTTCACTTCTCATCCAAGAAGTCAGAACTGAAGAAGTTTCTTGGATAAAACACAACACACCTTCAAGGAAAAACAAAGAAAGTCCAGCTGCCTTAAAAAAAAAAAAACACCTTTGAGACATTGTGTAAAATACAAGTGAAACCTTTGCATGTAGTCATTGTACATGTGATGTACCTTTGTTGTCATATTGTCAGCTGTCTATTGTCTTCTTTTTTTTTCTCTACCCATTAAAATCTTGCTTAAAGCATCTCCACCCATTTTTCTGAGCCAAGAGAATGCACTGAACATGAGCTGTATAAACGAAAGCAATTCTGTTGCTCTTTCATTTCAAGCTTCTTCTTGATGATCTCCTTAAAGCCTTGGTGTTCTTTATAGATAGATAGGGCTCTTGGAAGTAAAACCACAACCATCTTGCTTTGCCAGATGTCAAATTTGAATGTCCTACCTTGGCAAGTGATCTCAGTTTCATCTATATCTAAATTGGGCAATGATTTTGAATTTTAATCAGTTAATCTCATGTAAATTATGGGTGGGCGGCTTAACAATGGTTGCTGTTCAGAACTTTGGGCTTCTAGTCTGTGTTTAGCCAGGTTCACACAATCAGTTATTCTCTGATGTTATTCATGCCCCACTTGCTCACAGACAAATGGCAGATATGAAAATTATGTGAGCTGAAGAAAAGTCAACACTGCTGGGGAAAAAATATAGGTTTCTTTGCTTCATCTTTCTTCCTTTATCCATTAAATGTTATGAAAGTAATATAATATTACCTTGTTTATGCAAAAGGTGGTAAAATGCAGGATATGCATGAGGAAATAGAGATTGTACATAGTTAAAATATATTGGAATTATTGACCATGTTGATGTGGTTAACTGTCTCAGAATACCTGTCTTGAGTTAAAAATTCTTTTTTTTTATTATCAATCAGAATTTCAATCCAATAGATTAATCCATTTTCTTCCCCAAAGGATTTCTGGGTTCTTAGAAATGGACAATTATTTCTGTCAGGTTTCATACCAGTTCACCCAGTCCCTATAATCTCAATTTTTTTGAAATTATGAAATATTTGTATATAACTGATGAACTATATATCAGTCTTTTATAACTGAATGCATTTGTTCTTTTTTTTAAAATGCAAGAATTTTGCTCCTTAGAAGGGATCTGTGGGCCAGAATATATATATATATATATATATATATATATATATATATATATATATATATATATATATGTGTGTGTGTGTGTGTGTGTGTGTGTGTGTGTGGTGTGTGTGTGTTTCTGAGGTTTTCGCAGGTATTTGTATATAGGTCTTTGGTTGTTTGGGTTTTCTCTCCCGCGTAAAATTGGAAGTGTCTTGGCAACGTTTCGACGAAGTCCATTCGTCATCTTCAGGCTGTTGTTTTTAGCTTCTTGCTTTGAGCAGCAAGAAGCTAAAAACACCACCTGAAGAGACGAATGTGACTTCGTCGAAACGTTGCCAAGACACTTCAATTTTACGCGGGAGAAAACCCAACCACCAAAGACATATATATATATATATATATATATATATATATATATATATATATATATATATATATATGTAGGTCTTTGGTTGTTCGGGTTTTTCCCGCGTACAATTGGAAGTGTTCTTGGCAACGTTTCGACGAAGTCACATTCGTCATCTTCAGGCTGGTGTTTTCAGCTTCTTGCTTTGAGCAGCAATGTGTGGTTTTAGCTGTTTCTTCCTTTTAACTGCCAGTGAGGGTATGAACTGATTGGATGGGAGCTTGGCTGTGTTCTGATTGGGTGGAGGTGTGTTCTGAATGGTTAGGGGCTTGGCTGTGCTCTGATTGGCTGGGGGAGTGTTCTGTTTGGTTGTGCTCAGGTTAGTCTGATTGGGCAGAGGGGTTTAAGATTTTGGGGTTAGGGAGTCGTTTGTCAATAAGGGCAGGTTTCCAAATGGCTGGTAGGCGGGAGGTATCATCTCGCTTGTTCATGCTGTGTGGGCGTTTTTCTATCTCGATGGCTTCTCTGATTATTCTGTTATTAAAATGTTCACTTTTGGCAATGGTTCTGGTATTTTTAAAGTCAATTTCATGTCCTGTGGCTTTAAGGTGTTTGGACCAGGGAAGATGTTGGTTCCTCTTTTTTGACTGAGTTCTTATGTTCTTCAATGCGTGCACTTATTCTTCTGTTGGTTTGTCCGATGTATGTGGTGGGACAAGTGGTGCATGGGATTTCGTATACTCCTTGATTTTCTAATTCAATTTTATCTTTGGGGTTTCTAAGGATGGTGGATATTTTTCTGTTTGTGCAGAATGCTGTTTTGATGTTGTGTTTATGGGGATCTTACTGATTCTGTCTGTGGTGCCTTTTATGTATGGGAGGAGGGCTTTGCCATTTTCTTGTTCTTTGTCTTGGATTTTAGTGGGGGTTTCTTTTTGGATTAGGTTTGTAATCTTATTTCTATGGAATCCATTGGATGTTAGTACATTGGTGAGAGTGTGTAGTTCGGGTTTTAGGTGTTGTTCGTCAGCTAAGCGTTTTGTTCTGGAGATGAGTGTCTTGGCTACAGAGTTGATCTGTGCTGGGTGGTGGTGTGAGAGAGCGTGCAGATAGCGGTTTGTGTGTGTTTTCTTCTGGTAGATGGTGTGTCCTAGGGAGCCATTGGATTTCTTGTAGACTAAGACATCCAGGAAGGGAAGTTGGTTGTTAGTTTCTGTTTCCATGGTGAACTGTATTTTGGGGTGTAGGCTGTTGAGGTGTGTGAGGAAGTTGTCCAGTTTTTCTTTCCCATGTGGCCAGATTATGAAGGTGTCGTCTACATATCTGAGCCAGAGTTTGGGTTTGTGATCCGATTTTTCTAGAGCTTGGGTTTCAAAGTGTTCCATGTAGAGGTTGGCAATGACAGGTGAGAGGGGTGATCCCATGGGTGCTCCTTCTGTTTGTTTGTATTTTTGTCCATTATAGATGAAGTATGTGTTGGATAGGCAGTGGTTGGTCAGATCTAAGATGTGTTTGGGGGGGTTATATTTGTTTTGAATAGCTGTCAAGGCTTCTTTGATAGGCACTTGGGTGAAGAGGGATATGACATCGAAGCTCACTAGTAGGTCGCTGGGCTGTAAGCTTTGTTTCTTTATGATCTCTATAAACTGGAATGAGTTTTTTTACGTGTGAGGTAATGGATTCTGCATAGGGCTGTAGTTGTTTGGCGAGAAATTTGGCTAGGTTTGTAGAGGTGAGCCTATGGAGCTGACTATAGGTCTGAGTGGGGTTCCTTCTTTGTGTATCTTGGGGAGACCATAGAGTTTAGGGCATCTGGATGATTTCTCTCTGGGAATGATTCTTTGCTGGATCTCTTCGCTAATGGGGGAGGCTTTTATCTTGGTTCTGGTGGTTTTTTCCAGGTAGGTGGTGGGATCTGTATTTAGGGGTTTGTATGTGGAGTCTTGGAGTAGGTTGGTTAATTTGGTTTGGTAGTCAGATGTGTTCATAACCACCGTGGCGTTGCCCTTGTCTGCTGGTAGGATTATTATGCTGGTGTCTTCTTTCAGGTTACGTAGTGCTGTCTGTTCCTCTTTGGGTAAGTTGCTTTTGGGTGGCTTGCTGGTGCAGAGGATGTTGGTGATTTGGAGTCTGATTTTGTTAGCGTCATCGGGGTTGATTTTGGTCAGGCTGGTTTCAACTCCACATATAATGGTTTCAGTGGGGATGTGTTTGGGAGCGACTGCAAAGTTGAATCCTTTGGAAAGGACATTGGTTTCGGCTTTGGTGAGGATCCTATCTGAGATGTTATGCACTGTTTGTTTCATGTGTGGCTGTGAGGGAGGAGGGGTTTGTTTCTGGCGTTCTTGTAGTCTTCGGAGTTTGTTGGTGTGTGTATCTGTCTTGAGGGTGGTCTGTGTTTCGGCTCTCCAGACGGCAAGTTGTTTGGATTTGTCCCAAAGTGCGGGGTGGATCTTGTTGCTGATTTTGAGGTGGAGTGTGAGGAGATCTTTGTTAATTCGGTCTAGGAGGAATCTTTTTGTGTGAAGTTCATTTCTGATTAGGGCCAATTCTGTTCTTTTCAGGATCCTTTTGGTGGCTGCAGAGTTGGAGTGGAATTTCAGTTGGAAACATGTGGGGATTAGATTTTGATCTCGGCAGTTACGTAGGATGCGAGGTCACATAATGGAAGCTCTTTGGATCTTCAAGTTTTTCATAGTCCTGGTCAGATTTGGTGGATTTCCTCCCCGTAGAGGTCGATATTGGTGTTCTGAGGTTTTCGCGGGTATTTGTAATAGGTCTTTGGTTGTTCGGTTTTTCTCCCGCGTAAAAAATTGGAAGTGTCCTTGGCCACGTTCGACGAAGTCACATTCGTATCTTCAGCAGGCTTGTGTTTTTAGCTCTTGCTTTGAGCATCACTGTGTGGTTTTCGCTGGTTTCGTCCTTTTAACTGCCAGTGAAGGGTATGAACTGATTGGGTGGGAGCTTGGCTGGGTTCTGATTGGGTGGAGGTGTGTTCTGAAGGGTTAGGGGCTTGGCTGTGCTCTGATTGGCTGGGGGAGTGTTCTGTTTGGTTGTGCTCAGGTTAATCTGAGTTGCAGAGGGGTTTAAGATTTTGGGGTTAGGGAGTCGTTTGTCAATAAGGGCAGGTTTCCAAATGGCTGGTAGGCGGGAGGTATCATCTCGCTTGTTCATGCTGTGTGGGCGTTTTTCTATCTCGATGGCT